TCTCCTAAGTAAACTTAAGTCCTGGAGTAACAACGGTAAAGCCTTGTAGTAGGCGACTTTAATGCACCGTATATAAGCCGGGTTAACTTAGAAGTAGGGTCATCGATATCGTCGTTCGAATGCAAACTGTTGGAAACATCGATTGGATTAGCTTTATTCCAACATCATAAACATGTTAGAAACCCCACAAGATATGACTTAAGAAACTCTTCTTCTCTATTAGATATAATTTTCACACACGGAGATGACGTTGGTCAAATGATTTTCCTACCACCACTAGGAAGAAATTATCATGCAGTCATCTTATTTAAATTCATGGCTGAGATTGCCTGTCAAACAGTTGTCCCGGCCCGTCCTAATATATGGAAGGCAGATATGGAAGCAATCAACTCCACAGCATCGGCTGAAAACTGGTAAATTGACTCAACGGCATCAGTGCAAGACGCATGGACTTATTTCAGGTAGTTGTACAATCGGGTAATTCAACCATACATACCCTGGACAGTTCCAAAGAAGAAGAAGCACGGACATCCCTGGACAGGCCGGGATATTGGATGTTTACTAAGACAAAAGAAGAAATGTTGGACTGTACGATGGAACGCTACAGATCGATAAGAAACAAGTGTATAACTAAAATTCGGGGAGCTCAAAGAAAATACGAAATGCACTAGGCACAATCTACACTCAAGCAGCCTAAGAGAATATTCTCGTACATAAACTACAGAACAAGGATGCATCATTGGATTCCCAACCTAATTAAAGAAGGGAGTGAATCTGAAATGATAGAGGAAGATCAGGAAGAAGTAGAGGTTATGGCTGACTATTTTGGGGTAGTTTTTACTCAGGAACCTCCGCTAGACGGAGAACCAAACCAAGATAAACAGTCAACAAACCACCTGCTCACCGTGGACTTCGATCAAGACGATGTGCTTAAGGCGCCTAGCACCTTAAACATGGAAACGTCAACAGGACCAGATGAACTACACCCCAAAATCTTGAGAAATATTGCTCAATATATCGCAGCCCCATTGACTGTGTGTTCAATATGTCACCTTACCAAGGTGTGTTACTTGTGGACTGGACACAATCGTCACTCCCATAAATAAAACAGGACCAAGACACCTTCCGTTGAACTACAGACCTGTAAGCCTCACCAGTGTTGTAGTTAAAATATTGGAAAGAATAGTTAAAAAGATCACAATGACATCTGTGCATACCAACAACTTGTTAAACAGTGAACAAAATGGTTCCAGAAAGAGTCTTTCTTGCGCAACAAACCTCCTTATAGCAGGGGAGCATTAGATAAAAGGGCTAGGCAGCGGAAACTTAGTATATGTTGTCAACATAGACTTCAGTAAGGCATTTGATTAGATGCCAACAAATAGACTACTATTGAGGTTGGGAAATCTAGGTATTGCCGGACTCCTCTTAAAATGGCTTACTGATTTCTTAGTACGTCGTAGACAGAAAGTAAGAATAAATTATATGTGCTCCATCTGGAGACCAGTACTTAGTGGAGTCTCTTAAGGTTCCGTCCTGGGTCCTTAACATTTTATACTGTATGCAAATGATCTCCCAAATATAGTACAGTCCCCAATGTTATTATACGCTGACGACGTAAAAATTTGGCGAGTAACAACTGGAGACGCAGATGCATGCGCACTTCAGACAGACTAAAATATTGTGATTGACTGTACTAAGGAGTGGCTAATGATTATCAACGCGGAAAACTGTGTCTATATGCACTTTGTGAATACAAAGATAGGTAGGTACAGCATAGGAGAAGTGCCTGTACCCGTGGTTCGGTCTCACAAGGATCTTGGGGTGATAGTGAGTCACGATCTTAAGACGACGGCCCATTGCTGGGAGGTTGCAGCTGAGGGGCTTAAAACCGTATTGGCTTTACGATGGACATTCACTAAGTTAGATAACATCATGCACGCTATAGTATACAAAACCTTAGTGAGAACTGCTTTCAGGCTGCAAGCTCCTGTTTAAAAGGTGACTCGATTATCCTGGAAGGCAGCTACCCACGCGATTTCAGAACATTTGGGTTTACTATGCAAAGTTTGAGAAGCCAGATCTGTTTACTCTGCTCTACCGCTGATCTGATTTTGATGTAGGAGATCCTAAGGAATGATCTTAGTGCTTAATAAGTTGTTTTTTACCATTCCCACTAGATCTCTACATTTCAGAGGGTATAGTAGGTGAGTATAAAAAATCTAGAAGGAACAAAATATCCGTGGCATACAGGTGAAGATGACACAGGTATTCAGTGTTTGATAACGCTTTTACCAGTAACACCTAATATAATTTGTACCCACCAAGAGAAATCAAAAGGCAGGGTCGAGGAGATCGGAAGAGTGTATTTGGCGATTACCAATATGTCGGAATTCTCTGATCTAATCTGGCCAGCGATTGTGGTAGATGTTGAGCACAGCGTTGCCACACGTGATCTGGTGCGGATGCATGACTGAGCGCCTTCAGCTAGATGAGTCCACTAAAACATGTGGTCAGCATCCAATGTCGAAAACTTGCAGAGCTACTTATTTTGGGGATTTATTTACTGCTACAGATCACTCCCCTCCTAGTAGGGTAGTGATGACCCTAAGACGTGGCCAGCCAGAAGTTTAAACCCAACGAGTCTGTCGTTGGTGAACACTCTTCTGATAGCTTACTAGGTTTAGCAGCGTCTGGCACTACAAAAATAATTGTCAACCACAGAAGTAATATTACCTTATGTACTTTTTCCGAATAGGTCTCAAAATTGTCCTAACTTGTAAATCGTCGCGATAACACAGTATCACTGAAAATTCGTCCTATATCATGCACCATCACGACGGCATCGTCTTCGTTACTCTCAAACATTTCAACCGGCTGACATCAACTTTATTGACGACAGTTTCATCTGCAATTCCACAGGACTTTCTGAAGTGGACCTAAGCGCTGACTTGGTGTTCCGGAAATTGCAGCACTTAAGACTTGACACTTCTCCTGGCCCGGATATGGTTCATCCTGCCATACTGAGGGAGGCAGTCTCAATCCTGGCAACGCCGCTTAGCGTGATGTTTTCACACTCGCTTAGCCGAGGCAAATTACTGGAAAATTGGAAGTTGGCTCACATCACACCAATTTTCAAAGGTGGTCGACGCAATGAACCTTCAAGTTATCGGCCAGTGGCTCTTCTGTCATTACCTTCAAAACTCATGGAGTCCCCGATATGCGACGGTTTAAATGACTATCTACTGTCCTTAAATTTCTTTTCACCCCAACAGCATGGTTTCAGGAAGGGTTACTCTTGTATAACCAACCTGCTGACTGCGGTGGACAGATGGACAAGCATCCTCGATTGCAAGGGAAAGGTTTATGTCATTTACCTAGATTTCTCAAAAGCTTTTGATAAGGTTAACCACTTGTGTCTTATCAACAAGCTCAAACGACTAGGTATCAAACCACCTCTAATCGATTGGCTTACTTCATACCTAAAAAAATCGACACTTTAAGGTTAGGGTTAATTTCACTTTATCTCAGGCTATGGAATGTCCTAGTGGGGTCCCCCAGGGCTCAGTACTAGGGCCTCTTCTCTTCTTGATCTACATAAATGATCTTCCTCAACAGATAACGTCAGACTTATTACTTTTTGCCGACGACGTGAAACTTTGGAGAGAGATACGCAACCAAGACGATACACAGGCACTTCAGGAGGATCTGACTCGACTTCAAAGTTGGGCAGACGATAACGGACTTACCTTTAACACTTCAAAGTGTAAAGTAGTCCATCTGCGACATGTCGCAAACTACAGTTACAACTTAGGAAACTCCTCTCTAGTAGTATCCCAAGTCGAAAAAGATTTAGGAGTTCTGGTGCCCCATGATTTAAAGTCTTACGCTAACTGTGACAAAAATGCCTTCCGAGCAAACCTTGCACTGGTAACGTTGAAGCGCATTTTTGGCCAGTTTGACGGAAGAACTTTCCATATAATCTTCAATAGTTTCATCCGTTCCCATTTAGAGTACGGAAACATAGTACTCCCCCCTCACTCCAAAAGGACAAGGTCACTTTGGAGCGTATCCAACGGCGAGCCACGAAATCAGTTCGAGGACTCAAATCTAAGCCTTACGAAGAACGCCTCCGTTCACTAAACCTTTACCCACTAGAATATAGGCGTCTTAGAGGTGATTTATTAATGGCTTATAGTATTCTTAACACTTCTGGACATCCTCTTAAACACCTACTTAAGCTTAGTTCGAATAATAACCTAAGGGGTAACACCCAGAAACTGGAAACACAACATAGCAAGACGGAATGTAGACACAACTTCTACTCCTTAAGAGTTGTCAAAAGCTGTAATTCGCTGCCGGCCGAGCTAGTCCAAGCGACTTCTCAGGAGTCCTTTAAGAGGCAACTTGACCTATTCTTAAGAACCAAGGACAGCATCACACTATGATTTACCAATTTCTTTTCCTCTCTTATTGTTAACATACCTAGGTTCCTGCCTGGAGGATTTGGTGATCCCCTGCTACTAGACACGGAAGCCTGTTAAGCGAAAGCTTCTTCTATTCCGTCCACAACCATTTGAACCATTTGAACTTGAACGATGGACGTTATCAGAAGTAGTGTGGCTGAAATGAATTCAAATCTAAATGTGTCCTGATTTGACCACTTCTGCAAAACTTCACGAATCGTCGTCGTGACGCACCAATCATCTTGCGACACTTTGACCTTCAATTTACGAGGACACTCCAAAAAGTTCACAAGCCCAGAACAAATCGCTTGTCAGCTGACTATCGACTTTCTCATCGAATCATCAACGAGTGGAATTCATTACCTCAGCACGTGGTTGAGGCTCCATCCGTCGATTCTTTCAAAAGAAAGTTGGATCAACTGAGAGACCACCATTGCCAGGACTAACACAGGCCATCAAGCCTCCTGTCCTTTCCAAACTGAAACTGAGACTGAAAGTCCACGCAATCTCCCTCTGTGTATGATACCCCTGAAGCGTTGCCGTCGTCGGTTAGTTAGTCTTGCCAATTAATTCATGTTCTTTTGTTAGTGTTCGGTTAATTTGTAGTCCGGGTGTGAAGGTCAAGATGTTAGGTTCAGGGTTTAAGAGCAAGGAAACCTACAACTAACCTTAAGTTCCCTACTCATATGAAGTCAATATATACAATAACTTTACTGTCTGGGATTAGTCCTTTCATTCTCTGCCAGAGGTCATTTTGATGTACACTCGCTGTTTTCTGTATGGCTATAATCCGAGCTATGTCTGATGGTGGAAGAATTATGTCCCGATATAATCGTTGTTACAGAAACTTGGTTCACAGCAGATATAGACTGTTCTCCGTTCATTGCAGGCTATATCTATATTAGAAGTGATAGAGTTTCAATTCGCAAAGGGGGAGGTATAATATTATATGTTAGGGATCACTTTCGTATACAATCAATCATATCGGAAGCTCATATCAGTGGCACATGTGAGGTTGCGTGTTTTAAGATTAAATCTAGAAATGGGTTAGTGACTATAGGGGGAATATACCGTAGTCCGTTTTGTCTTGCTGACGACTTTATCCTAAGACACATCTGTTCTTGGAGTATGACAGAATGTTGTCTCATCATTGGGGACTCCAACGCACCGCATATCAACTGGATAGAGCTTACAGCTCCAGGTAGTGGTTTCGATAGCGACCTTTTATCTACCGTTATTCAGTGTGCGCTAGTACAATGTATCACAAAACCGACACATTGATTTCAATCATGATCCGTCACTGCTGGACCTCGCCCTCACCCACCACTGTGAGGGTGTCTTTGATATTCAGCACCATCCCCCACCTGTGAACAGTGATCACGTTGTAATTCACTTTAAGTTTAGGACACATGGTATACAATTCGTATCTGCTCCACCCCGTCCCAATATCTGGCGAGCCAATATTCCGGCGATCAGAAACTGCTATCTCGACTGATTGGTCGGTCGACGCGGATGGATTGATCGAAGATGAATGGAATAAGTTTAAGGCTACATTCGAGTCCGTAACGTCGCCGTTTATCCCATGGTCAGCACGTAAGCTATCACATTGCCCTCCATGGATTAATAAGGAAACCCGGAAGCTGTTAAAGCGTAGGAAACATTTCTGGGACTTATTCTTGTTGACAGGTCATGAACCATTTAAGCGTGAGTACCAGAAATTCCGCAATATCTGTAAGAAAACCATAGCGAAATCCCGTACCACTTATGAACGACAGTTAGTATATGATAGCCGTACTTGTCCGAAGCGATTGTTTTCGTATGTTAAACGGCGAATGAAGCGTAGTGATGGTATTTTCCCGTTACTGTTACACGAAGATTCAGAATTACTAGCTGAATCAGATCGAGCAAAAGCTGAGACTTTTTCAAACTATTTTAGCGAAGTCTTCTCTACGTTTATTGTAACAAATACATGTTCCACTCACACCGAGATACCAACCATTGAATCTGTACAGGTGACTAAGGAAACTGTCCTTCCGTTGATAACTAACCTCGAACTTGGTAAGATACCGGGCCCTGACAGGTTACATCCACGGTTGCTGTCATCTCTTGCGGACATTATTTCAAAACCGCTCGCGACAATCTTCAACATGTCCCTTTCACTCGCTCAACTCCCTAGAGATTGGAAAGACGCTATAGTCAGTCCTATATTTAAGGACGGTCAGAGACATAGTATCTAACTACCGGCCTGTCAGTCTAACTAGCATAGTCGTTAAGTTACTTGAAAAGATAATTCGGGTTAGGCTGCTAAGCCACATAGATTCACACAATCTGTTAGCTCCTGAACAACATGGATTTCGTAACAAGCGTTCATGCCTGACTAACTTACTTATTGCGAGAGGATTGGACAGCAGCCTTAGATAAAGACCTGTCTGTCGATGTGATATTCATAGATTTTAGCAAAGCATTTGACAAGGTTTCACACGTAGGTCTTATGCAGAAGCTCACGAGCTTCGGAATAATAGGTACTGTACAGGAGTGGATAGGTAACTTCTTATGTGACCGCAGACAGAGAGTGAGGGTCAATGGAACGCTATCCGATTGGAAGCCGGTCAAAAGTGGTGTACCCCAAGACACCATCTTAGGCCCACTGCTCTTCCTTCTCTACGTTAATGAGTTACCGCTGTTATTTAGGTCGTCGACATTATTGTTTGCGGACGATGTAAAAATCTGGAGAACAATAAAAAGTGCGGCTGATCATCTGGATCTTCAAGCTGACTTAGACGATTTAGTTAAATGGGCTCGAGGTTGGGGCTTAGAAATCAATGCTAGGAAGAGTGTGCTAATGCACATCGGTCACGGCAATAGTTACCGTTACACTATTGAGGGTAAACCTCTTCCATACGTTCAAGAGCATAAAGACTTAGGAGTAGTATTAAGTCATGATTTAAAAACAACTACGCATTGCAAAGCAGCCGCTGTCAAAGGTTTTCGTGCGTTATGGTCACTTCGCCGAGCGTTCAAATCTTTTGACGAGGAAACGTTTAGAATTTTATATCCCATATATGTAAGACCACATTTAGAGTACTGTATCCAAGCAGCTAGCCCGTGTCTGGTAAAAGATACTAACTCCCTTGAGTGTGTCCAGCGTGTGGGGACAAAATTAGTGAGGGGTCTTCCTAGACTCCCTTACGATGAGCGTTTAAAACGCCTAAATCTTTTCCCCTTGTCGTATCGTAGGACACGAGGTGACCTTATACTGGCATTTCGTATCTTTAATTATGATTTGGGTGTTAATATGTCTTATCTTTTTGCTCCCGCCAGCACTAATAATCTCCGAGGTCATAGCAAGAAGGTTCATAAACCGCGATCTCATAAACTTAAAGTGGGGTCCCGTTTTTCTCATCGAGTAGTCAATCATTGGAACGCCTTACCCGAACAAGTGGTATCAGCCCCATCAGTGAATACTTTCAAGGAGAAGCTGGACCTTCACTGGAAAGCAATGTGTCAGGATTAATACAGGTTCACCAACCTACTATCCTTATTACTGAAAACTGAATCAGTGGAGTCCGCATGTTCGCTCTATAGTATTGCCAAGCTTAACCCAAACGTACACGACACCGGTATTATACAGTGATACCATTTGATGTGACCAATCGGACAAGTTATCTCAGTATTCCTATTTCATGTATATAGCTTGCATAAATAGACCATTCAGATCCAAGTTTATACTTTAAAATGAGTATATAAGAGACCTTGGCTCTAAGTTTTTTATTACACCTCTGTGTGTATCTAGTCCCCTAAATAAGTGGATTGGACACTCAGATATCACTTCTGACAGTTGGTTCTCAACTTTAATTGGTCAGTGGCATAACCTGCATGTAACAGGAAGTTTATTATTCTCAATATACCACTTCGTGTTCTTTAGGTTTTCTTGACCTAAATGGGGTAAAAGGGGATAAATTAAGTCCAAATTTATTTCTCAGTATCTCATGCACCATAATTGGTTTTCCTTTCAATTTACGTTAAGTTAGTATTAAAGAGTCAAACATTTTATGATGGTCGTCGCAAAGAAATCTAGACGCCCGGAATTGCTCGAACAGCGTACTTTTCCACGAGATGAGTGACCTTTTACGAAGACTTGTAGCTTGTACATATTTCTACTTCACCAAGGTTGTGCAGACCTTGGCCAATATATTTTTACCTAACTTGGTGCAGGTCTGTCTTAAGTCAAACAGCACTAAACCCTTCAATTACAACTGAATAACAGTAAGATCTGATCTTTAGATCATGGTCTCTTAGATCATTTTAAGGTGCAAATATGAGTAGGGGCACTTCTCCAACATGTTTGTTAGCTCTACATGTATGATAACAGTTATCTCCACTAATAGTCATTAACCACAACCTAGACCACCAGCCCAGCATGACGTTAAGGTCGCCCTGGAGTGTACATACATTTCCACTACGTGCCACTTCTGGGCACACTTTGATTCTATCAGCTTGAAGAAGCGTAGGAGATTTGATGACACTTGAAACTTGGTTGATACAAAGAATAAATAAAGATGGACTTAGTTTTTCTCCTCGGGATAACCCACTGTGTACTGGTTTCCAGGAGACCCTTATGTTAATTCTTTCTCTCTATCACCAACAAACCAAAATGTTCCCAATTTACCCGAGGTATTCAAAGATTTCTAAGCTTTTCAGCTCCAGCTTAAGCCTTCCGAGGTTAAGGGACCAAGTAACGTATATTAGTCTAACACTACCAAATTTAGGGAGAAATTAACTAACTCGAAGAAAAACGAGGTGGGGGTGTCCAGGGAGTTTTTCCTCAAATACCGAGTCCTTCCCCAGTAAATACACTTTTGGTGAAACCCAATACTCCACAACTTTCCCTCTAAAGACACTGCTTTTCCATTGTTTCCCTCTGAACTTTTCAGCTCTTCCTCGAAGTAACCTCATAAAAACGCCTTCCATACTTATTCAATTGTGATACAATCGAAAACTTCATAAATTTGAACGGGACTTCTCTCTAAGAAGAATAAATTAATGGCAACAAGATTACAGTAATATAATCAAATTAGTCTTAATTTCTAAATACTCTTTATATACGACATTGTAAGTATATCCTTAGGTTACCGTCCTAACCAAAAGGCTGACAAGATATTTTGTAATTTAGATTAGTCACACTGAAAGATGTGCACAACATTTGCTAAAAGTTTCAACCCAGTATTTAGTAGTGATTGGGTAAGAACATCAGATGAGTTGTCGATTGGAATTCATGGTGGCGTTCATTACATTCTAAAAAATTCAAACAGGATATTAGAATTTATATAAGTAATGTCAATTAATAGATTATCAGTATGATGTTTCGTAGTTTACTGGGCCGATATCAATTCACAGGAATATTGCAATTTGAAAATTTATTTATTTATTTGAACACAAATATTGGTACAAGAAGGCACCAAATATATATGCGCCACACGAAACAATTAGAATTTGAAGAGGAGAAGGAAAAAAGGTAAGGAGCGTAAAAGAAAAAAAGAAAATTAGCGAACAAATTAGTGTAAGGTAGTGCGATGATAATAATAATAATAATGGGGGAAACAGAAACGTACAATCAGAAGAGATCTTTCAGTTAAGGAAGAAGCAACCGTTTTTTACGAAGAAAGTAAAAGAAGGTTACAGCAAAATCGCCACTGGCTTCTATTCTGAGCCATATCTGATAACGTCTCTAGCCACTGTGTCGCACCACCTCTCGGACCAACAGAAGCCAGCCCTTTGTAGATTTCTTTCATACCCCGACACCAGGTCAAATAGGTCCTGCCTCTTAATTCCACCTCGCCGGATGGCTGCTAAAAGTTCAGCCTTTATAATGAAACAAGAAATTTATTCAAGCTGTACCTTTACTTACAAAATACATTTCGAAAGAGTCTTTATAAAGTGATTAAAGCCATTTAAATCACTACAAGTCTATAAGTCATTCTAGAGCGAAAAATAAATAACTGATTATTTGTATATCGACCTATTTTAAACAGACGGCTTAATGATTTTTACGCCTGAGTTTTGGTCATTTGACTACATTTACGAAATCCAATTCTCTTGTTGACGTCTTGGCATTTCGATAAAATCATTAGTCTTAACGTAAAGTGGGTGGACCGAAACCCAGCACGTGAACATGTGCCTGGTAAACGAGTTACATTTGTCTCAAAGCACTTTGTTGTATAGTACTGCTCACAACCAGTGGATTCTGGTTAAAAGAAGTCAAAGTTGTACTACAGTAAAATATATCAGGGTTAACGCGTTTGGCACTTAGGGGAAAATTAGCATGTTGACTATAACTGACGATCATAGTTGACGTTTTTCTCGCCATAGTATTACGATACTTAGAGTGTTTGAGTGCAGAAGAGACATCACAACTTCATAATACAATATATTTACTAAGAATATCAGTTCGATAAACTTGCTAGATATCTTCATCTACTTAGCAACACTAAAATGTCCCGATGCTACTAGATATAAATAGCTATGTGAAAGTTTGCTTACATTATATATTAATTGAAACGGTTTGTTTCATTTTCACTCACCTTTACATTTGAACTTAGTTATAAAAAGTTACTTGAAGTGTAAAACAAAACGGGATGTCCACACAAATATTTCGTTATTTGGATAAACCTGTTCCTTTTGCACGTGATGGTTAGATTTATATAATAAGCTATTTTTCAAGCTAGATTTTCTCGATTTGGATTTATAGTACTAAATCTATGTTCCCTCGGTTATCTTAAAAAAACACGCACTTATTTCCATAGATAGACTGTCGAAGTGACCCTCATACTGATAATAATAACTTCTTGTAGACATGGGAATCGACTGAAACTTTTCATAATCGTAGCCGGATTAACCAGAATTTCAATGGGAGCCCTTTTAAAAGTCTACCAGTCAATGTGACTACACACTTCCTCATGTTACTCTTACATTTGATGCATTTAGGTAATAATCATGTCAACAATGTGGAGATGAAATGAACATAGCAAAATGTGTTCTGTTTCTTGCAGTTTTAGAGGGTGCTAAGTATGATATAGAAATGCTATTGCACTCTATGTTTTGTTTTTTAGGTCTGAGGATAATGAATATATGAACAATTAGTTTCATAAGATGCACATTTCATCAAAGAATAAGACAATTCGAATTTCCGTTTCAAAGTTGTTAGCGTGTAGTATATACGCATACTTATCTTTCGAGTGTAGTATCTTATCGTTCTAAATGTAAAACCAAGTAGAATTGACTGTGAATTCTTACTACTTTGAGTAGATAAACCAGAAAATAAATCAAATAGTAACTTGACCTTATTAAATGTTTTGTTAACGAAAGATACCGTCGGCTACTTAGTTTAAATTATAGTAGTGATCTATTAAATTAATGAAACAAATAAATTTGGGTCCAAATATTTAATTCAAAGTAAAATGAGAAATAAAGGTTATTACAGTAATAAACGTCATCTCAACTAACGGTTAACAAAAATAGCTCTCCCTGCTAATCACATATTTCACTTATTGTTGGTGGTGTTTTTTAAGACTGGTTTATGCATTATTTGTTAGAAGAAATCGCCATACTACGTAATTACTGTGTTTTAATTCTTTATTACAGTATCTAATGTTAATCTAATGTTATCTATGTTAATTTTCTTCCCACATGTTTTCAGGGTCTTTCACGATTTATATTGGTTACAATGATATCTTGTTAGTTCAGTTATTCTGCTCATCTGTTCCGTCAAAATACGTGTTATTGTCTCTGTGGACGGATTCTATAATGTATAGAAAGGCTGGGATTGCATCAATTAAAAGCAAATCGCTTGCTCAGTCGAAGTACAAAGAAAAAAGTGATGAGTTAGCAGGAAATCAGATAACAACACTATCACGACAGTTTGAACAAGTTCGTCAGTCGCTTGAATTATTTGCGAGCAAACACGGGAACAAGATTAAAGAGGATCCACAGTTACGTTCACAATTTCAAGCAATGTGTAGTAGTATTGGTGTTGACCCTATAGCATACAGTCGTGGGTGTTGGTCAGAAGCATTAGGTTTGGGGGAATTTTACTACCATCTAGGTGTGAAAATTATTGAGGTGAGTTAATAAATCACTAAAGTTTTCACCTAATTACCGACCTTACAATTAATAATAACCAAATATTTTTTACTACCTGATATCCAATTTTGTTTTATTTCTGATATGACAATATCGAGATTACATTTTCTTAATAAAATAGTGTCTTCATTATTACCATAGTTCAAAGGAAAATCGAGCCTTTAAGATCTCACCAAGGACTGATGAATTTGTTCCAATAAATTGGATGTGGTTATCCATAAAATGGTTTCTCCGTCTTCTAGTACTATAGGTTAATGCCACTATTCATGAGTCACCGGTTCGCCTGAGCTCCAAGCATTTAGCAATTCATCATCATTCTTATGGTTTCACAGATTCAAAATTTTATCGTTTTCGATGTCTCACGTACATCCACAATAGATCTTCACGTCCATAGATGTGAATGATGCATTATATAGTTAACAGTTTGTACTTGTTGCTACAAAGATGAAGAGTTTATTTTCTATTTTTTATTTGAACACAAACATTGGTACAAAGGGGCACCAAAATATATATGCCCCACACAATAACGACCGGCTTATGAAAAGACAATGAAAGAAAAGCAAGGGTAGGACTCTAATTTATGGACGAGCCAATCAGAAGCGTCTAAGGAATTTCAAGGTCACGGCGGTAAGTTCAGTGCGAGATGCTCACATTCGATCGTTTTACAGCAGATTTTAGAGAATTGGTGATCGTTGGGAGACTACAGCAGATGGCACTGTTAAGAAGTTCCTGTGTCTGTGACTGCGGCAATTAAATGACCGCAGCACGATGTGCAGACTGCCGCGATGACATTGTATGTCGTTGTACTATATGTTGAAGAAAAAAATCTGCTCGAACTGGCACTTTTTTTGCCCGGTCACGGCTAAGGCTAAGACAAACCATGATAATCGTTGCAAATTGGATCATAAAGTCTCAAGTAACATTAGCTGCGGCTATACCGATGATTGGAAAGCGTATAGATGCCTCTCCAGACTTGGTTTTGTGCATCATGTTGTGGTGCACAAACGTCATTTTGTTGATCCAACGACGGGGGTCCATACAAACAACATTGAGGGCATGTGGTCTAGGCTGAAGTATTTTTAAAGACCCTACCACGGCTCCAGAGGACGATTATTATGGAGTCATATGGACGAGTTCTTATACCGCATGCACTATGATTTCAAAACTTCTGAACCTTTATCAAACCTCAACAAGTTCTTAAATCATGTAAAAGAAGAATATCCATTGTAATTCATCACTTTTTTATAATATATTTTTACTTTATACTAACTCTTCTCTGATTGGCTAATGTTCTCAAGGTCACTTAAAAATTCGTTCAAAGGTCGTCCATAAAGTAGAGTTTCACCGACGAAGCAGTTCAGTTCAGAAAAATACGAGCTAAAAGGATTCTTTCAGTTCAAGAAGTTCATTTCACTTATATGAAGAAAGTGAAGAAGGTTACAGCAAAACCACACTGGTTTCTGTCCTGAGCCATTGCCAATAACGTATCAAGCCACTGTATTGCACCATCTCTGTCACCTCAACCGAGGAGGTCGAACACACTTTCTGTAGAAGAACACTTAACCGGTGGTAGAACTCATCCTTCATCGCATCGGGGGCTGCAATCTGTTTAGGATTGAACGATGACGAAAAAACATCGTTCCTCACACCGATTTCTCACTTTGATGGGATCTTTCAATCTGACTGCACATAATCAACTGGTCATGGGGATTCAATTAATTAGTGCTGCCTCGGCTCTAGCGCAACAGGGTCCACGAATAAACGCACGTGAAACAAGTTTTTTGAAGCGACAGATAGAGAGCGAATTTGTAGTACTTTACTAGGGTCCTGAATATGGGTCTCGGGTAGACAACAGACATCGATGCTGAGAATTTGTAAAGACAGCCAACTCTATTTGTTGTCCGATCTGCTTTAGTATGCGAAAGGTGAATGAGGCTAGTTTGGATGACATACGTGGTTTCAGAAAGACTGGTTGAGAATTCGTGTTTAGTGGTATCATTCAACTTTCAACCAATCATTGACTTAAGATCGTTTAGATAGGATAGGATCGCCACCATTTACTATCTGCTGTATGAGTTGAAGAATAGAGATGCACAAAATTGGAATAAAATATATGGACAAGCGACGTAATGCGAAATAAAAATGAGTAATAATAGTTTTGAGTGTGACTTGCAAGAACGAGAATTATAACGTGAACAGCTTTTCTACCTGTGGTTATCATTTAGTTTGTTTGCAGGCTGTGATACTGCCTGGGTGCCAAAACTGAAGCAGGTGGTTTTCTTAGAGAGCCACTTTCCGACCATTTTACTTTGAGGTCTAATCCACAAAGCACTGGAGCAACGTTAAGTAATACACTAGATTCATATGCGATGTGTTCCCTCAGGATCCTGGAGCCCGTATGCACCGTTAGTTCGGAATCAGGGTTCTGCAATTTATGTTGTAGGCTGTGTTGTGCCGTCCTGTATTATTCTGTATGTACGGGGAAGTCTTCGAAAAATATTTATTAGTTTATGACTCGGTTGGGCACTCGGGCAGTATTTCAGCCCTCACACAAATCGAGTGATTTGTGTGGCGCATACGTATTTGGTGCCTTCTTGTATCAATGTGTACGTCTTCAAATAAATAATTTGGTTGTGTAATGTTAATATTTTTTTCGTCAATATCTGTAGCTATTCATCACGGTGCAGACTATCATGTAGTCTTCATTATACTTTACTTTGTACAAAATCTTTTACATGTTTTATGTTTATATTGTTCTTAAGCTCAATTTCCTTTACAATTTTATCCACAGGTATGCATGGCTAACCAAAAACACACTGGAGGCATTATACCTCTGCATGAATTGGTATCTCTATTAAACAAAAACAGAACACGATATGAGTCTGAAGTTAGTGCTGATGACGTAAAAAGGTCTATCAGAAAACTGCGTTGTCTAGGAACAGGGTTCAGTCTCATTAGTCTATCTGGTGGTCAGTTATTGGTCCAGTCGGTTCCAGGTGAAATGAATATGGATCAAACTTTGGTGTTGGGGCTCGCAGAAAGTTCTGATAGTCATGTAACAGCATCAGCCGTAATGGATAAGTTAGTGTGTGATTTGTGAATAGAAACATTTTATTTCAGCTTCCATTTTCAGTAATTTATGTCTGTACTTTTTATTTGGATACAAACGACCTATTCAATCCGGAAAATTGTTCAGTTAGGTTCAACTAAAAAATGAATTTTGAAATATTTTTAGTGACAGACCTAACGATTGATACATAAGTTTATATAGTTGATCATAATTCTGGATCTACTTTGGGCTTCATTGTTCACTAGGGATTTTGTTTACTTTTAATCATAAGCTGTACTTTATTTCAGTAGTTTGCAGAAATTTGTCCAATTGTCTTTCAGTCACTTTAATCAAGAACTGATATCAACTAGAAAACCATTGAAATCCGGAAATACTAATTGCGATATCAAACTCCATAAATTTCAGGTCTCAGGACGGGCACAAGATACCTTTAAACAATTAAATGGGAATTCAATAGTACATATTTTTAAATTGAGTTTATTTAAGATATAACGGAATCATTGTCCAATAGGTAAAGATTTTTCAGGAAATTATTTCTGACTGGACACACAAAATGAATTCCCACTGAGGCTAGGAAATTATTTTCAAGATAAGTCAATTTTTACGTCACTAGTTTCAAATTAGTTATACGAAACATCCACATAATAATTAGCAAGTTATATAAGTCAGCAAATCGACGTACAGACAGTCATCAAAATAGTCAACTAGCTGCAGACTGAAAACATTGCGATCCAACCTGACAAATCTCTGACAAAAAATCAGTGTCACCTTTTTACAACCATGATATGTTATGCGTCGAATTACAGGGTACCAGCATTTCAAATTTCGGAAGATTTGTCCACTTTTTATTTCTATCTACCTGTTTTTAACTTGTTTCGTCGTTTCAGCGTATCTAGTTACTAATTTTTCGTTCCGGTAATTTCTATTAATGGTTTATCACGTCCATTTTGATGTGTTTTATTCATTTGATAACACTCGTTCCTCTCATTACATTATATTTATATAATATCACGGGAAAACCTCTTAGTATCTTCAAAAGAAATATCTATGAAGTTAAACATCAGCATGTAACGTAAACAATTAGCTTACTTTGAATGGGAGTAAAACTTTTGAAGCGATCATGCTACCTGTTCACTTTTCACCCGGTAGATCAGTTATGTTATCACTTCGTAAGCCTAATAAGTGTCTTTAATTAAATGATATAAAAACAATGTATACGTGGCTACAAAGCAATTAGTATTGTTTTACTAAAATGCATTTGAAATGAATTTTCAATAAATTACAACTGTAATTTATGTTCAAAGATGGATAATGGCCAGCAGTGGAATCCAAGGCGCGCGTTTCATCCTATTTGGGACTCGTCAGCTGGATGTACCTGCATCTTAGAGTTGATGTTCGAGTCCTGGAGTGATGATCAACTCTGAGATGCAGGTACATCAGACTGACGAGTCTCAAATAGGACGAAACGCGCGTCCTGGATTCCGCTGCTAGCCACTACCCATCTTTGTTTATAAAGCTCGTGACTTAAGGCAACATCGAGGCAATCCACACAGGATGTACATATGCCAATAAGAGACTGATCAGTTGCAGTCCTAAACAACAATGGGAAGATAGAAGCAAACAACACCAGGTGAATGTAATTTATATTGTTTCGAATTTTTTCTCTCTTGAATTCATGTCTAAATAAAATTGACCATCAGTCTGTTTTTCAGCAAGTAAAATATTGTTTATCCTGTTACCCTCTTTAAAATATAGTCCATCTTGTGTAAATAATTAGATTTATCCTTCTTATTTTATAGCGTATTTTCTGTTGTATTTTTAAGTAATATTTGTTTGTTTCCTTCATAATAATATATCATCATCTATTTTAATGATCATAGGCCGATTGTAAAACCAACTTACTGCTTTAAGCTAGTTATGATCAGTGTTCATCTTGAACTACTATGCTTTCACAACTATAAGTAACAGTGAATTATCAATTTGATTATAGGGATTTTGCGGGGATCACTTTAATTTATAGGTTATATTCGTTACAGTTTAATCTCAAGGAGGACTGGACAGCTGTTTAATCCTGTAATGGGACTCCTCAACAGGAAGTATTCACATCCCAAGTCCCATAAAGAACCCGTAATTATTAGAAACACCGGGTTGGCGCCCAGTAATAGAATCCAATCTTCAATCAGTTTTTTACTTCGATCGATAATCTTATTGTTATTATTCAGTTGGCGGAGGAAGATATTTGTTTTTTGTTTTTGCTAGTTTCCTTTTTGAAAAAGAAGTCAACTTAATATATATTCGACTAAGATAACTTGAGTTTTTAAGTAATTTATTACCATTTTTGGCGTTAAATCATTTTTTATGTGTCGGCATTTAATTAACTGCGAATTACCATACATTTTAACAATACCGTTAATTATTGTTCACAACGCTGAGTAAATAACCGTTTTAATACATGTGTAATGTGACCTCTCTCTAATTTTTTTTTATCTTCATTCAGATTTGATTGGACTAAAGATCGTACAGACGCTGCCTTTCGCCATTTAATGCAAGAAGGTATTGCATGGGTTGATGATTTAGATCCTTGTGGTGAAAGAGTATTTTGGTTTCCTAGCTTAATGGGCTCAATAATTACATCATAAATGTATACTTAATGATGTTATACTGCTTTCATTCCCTGTTTATTTATTTTATGAAAACCAAGGGACTTTCACCAGCCATTATTTTCTACATTATGAACTAAAAAAAATCTAATCGTTCATTGTTGATCACTACCATAAAAAGTTTACATCTCTAAACCAACAAACAATAATTTAAAATGACATACCAATTGACACTGTAGTGGCTCAAAGAATTAAGGCCATGCTCAAGAGCATGTTTGATTTTGTCTGCTTTTTAGCGTCGTTGCGATAATCGTTTTTTCATCCCTGTGAAATTTCGTTAATGTGACGCGTTAAGTGTTTCTCACCGTTCTAATGTTAGTGTGTACTTTCTAGCTTGTTAACATTTTCTCTATTATAAAACAACAATCCATTTTATTTGAAGTTTTTTGTTTATATTAAAAATCAGTGTAAATTTGTATTTGCAGTCAATTTTGATGTTGGCTGAAATTTCCTAACTGTCCGCATATTCGCTCCTAAGTGTCCTTCTGGAGCGTGTTGTTTGAGAGTTTCAGTCAGTCAGTCAGCTACAACATAGGATCAGGCACATATATGCATCGGTCCAAGTTGCCATACCTCATTAACACAACAAGATGGACACCAGATTCATAAAAGTAGTTAATTCAGAGGTGGTAATATATAAAAGAAAGATTGCATATAAGGATATAGTACAGGAAGAAAGAATTAGTTCGTAGAAAGAAAGATATGAAGCGATTTTAATCTCTTAGTTTAAGGGAAGACAGGGAGTGTATACACCTACGCCATTGTGATCGATTCTGAGCCATGTCACCAAGAGTCTTCAACCATTGGTTACAACAGTCACGCGGACCCCAACCAAGTAGTTTGCATCTACCAACATGGCCGTGGTTAGATAGTAAAAAGGTAATTAGGTGTTATGTTGAGAACCTCATAGACCAACGTTTACTGGCCGTAAAGCAAGGTTTTTAATGAGTTACGATCTCAAAAATTATACTAATACCTTACCCAAGATAGTGTTACCGATGGTTGAATGATGAACAGCTGTGTGTCGTAGTACCAACGATCACCATCTTCAGTGATCTCTAACAGATTATTAATATCTTGACATGACTTTAACTATGATTAATTACGAAAAGTTAAAAATTCCAACCAACAGCAAAACTGATCGCAAATGCACATTTACACAGATTTTTGATATATACAAAAGACTTCAAATAAAGTGAATTGGTGTTTTATAATAGAGAAAATGTTAACAAGCTAGAAATTACACACTAACATTAGAACGGTTCCAAAATGTGATGATAAACATTTAATGAGTTACGTAAAATAACAAAATTTCATCATAATGAAACAGAATATCGAAGTGACACTAAGAAGCGGACAAGGGAACCCAAGGAACTAAACATGTTCACCAGCATTGCTTGCAGAGGTGGCTGAAACTATGAACTCTCTACCACTGCATGTTTCCGGCTTGTCGTCAGTACGATTTTAGAAATTAAGCATTTCAGTTGTGTCAACATTTGAGTTTAAGTCAATAAATGTTCTAAAACTTGTAATGTTGAATAAACCCGTTCTACTTATTTATATCATACATTGTTCTTTTATACGAAGATACGGGTTTGTAATTTTTATTCGTCTAATGAAGCAATCATTAATCTCTTTCTCGTTGTGAAGTAAGGCGCTTATTTGCCGAAAGCTGGTTCATGCGTATATCAGTTTACCATAGACTGCTGCGTACTTAAACACTTGTTACTCCTACCTTTGCAAAACGTTCTTTACTACTTTTACGGCTGCGAAACGTGGCAATTAAGAGTAGAAAATACTCGTAAGCTACTAGTATTTGACCACAGATGTCTTAGAAATATTGCTCGCATCTGCTAGGACCACCGGGTAAGTAATAGTGAAGTTAGACGCGTAGCATTAAGGAACGATGGTGAATCAATTGGTGATGTTGTAAATCTTCATCGACTGAGATGGTCGGGCCACGTGTTACGTATGCCTGAACACTGACCGGTGTTAGGGATGGTTGGAAGAAAGTAAGGGGCGGCCAAAACAAAATATGACATTAGTCTTCGAAGTCACTAACTTCTGTTTTGAGCCATGTTGGAAGATGCAGACTACTTGGTTGTGGTCCGTGCGACTATCGTAACCAATGGTTGGAGACTGTGTGACATAGCTAAAAATCTATCACTGGAGTGAGTGTATACCATGAGATTAAAATTACTTTTGTTATAACTTTCGGTTTTCGTCTACACAAATGGATGTTAATTTACCTTAGACGAATATCTACACTAGATTCCCTCCCAGTGTCCATTTTACAGGACTTCAACAAAACTCAGACCAAGAACATGTGATTAGCCTGACTAGAACGTCAGTATATTTCCACATCAAAGGCTGACAACAATAATAATAAGGGTGAAGAATATATAACTCATCAAATACCTTTCAGACTGTCTACAAGTCTGACTAAGCAAATAACTAATCATTCCCACACACCAACTTTATGCCGTTCTTTCTACGAACTAATTTTTTCACCCTGTATTTCCTTATACACAGTCTTTTATATACTACCATTGAAGTAACTACTTCTATAAATTTGATGTTCATCTTGTGCTAATGAGGTGTGGCAACTTGGACCGATGCATATATGTACCTGGTCCTGCGTTATAGCTAACTGACTGACCTTTGCAAAAAATTAATGGATACTAGGAGGAATATTTATTTATAGAAAGTGAGGCTTATTTTGGATCGCATTAATCTAAACGTACAGTCCATCAATTCGCACGGAAAAATCAAGGGTATCCACGATGTTTGCCTAAATTATGGAGTCCGTTACACTACGGAACCATGCACTTTGTCGTTTATGATCTGTCAACTTAAGCGCCTTATGTGTAGTTAGAAAAGACACTATAGAAACGTCTACAGATTATCGGAAAATAAAAGTAAAACAGTCACTACTAAATTTATAAGCTTTATTACTTTCGCCAAGTGAACTACAGGTACGCCTTTAACTATACTTCATTTAATTCACTTGATATTGTTTTACTTGAATTTTCCCATTGATGTTTTAGGACTGAAATTGATCAGTCTCTTATTTCAGTCCTAAAACATCAATGGGAAGATTCAAGTAAAACAATATCAAGTGAATTAAACTTCACCCCATTGCACAACCAAGTGGCTATCAGAACTCAGTAGCTAAGTGGATAACGCAATGGCGTTCGAAGCGAACGGTACTGAGTTCGAGTCCCAGAGTGAACATCAACTCTGGAATGCAGGTACATCCAGCTGACGAGTCCCAAACAGGACGAGACGCGCGTCCTGGATTCCACTGCCAGCCACTATCCATCTTTGTTTAAACAAGATTAGTTTACTATTCAAAGAAATATTTCGATATGTAATTATTATGGATTATTACTAACCTACTAATAAATTAACATTTCACAATATAATTTAAAAATCGATTGTTTCAGACGCTTTAATGAGATGGTGAAGAAGATTTGTAACTCTGATGGAATTTTGTTCTTTGAGTTGGATGGTCTGTGTAGATAAATAATTATGATCTTATTAGGATTTAAAGGTATTGCATTGCTAGCTTTTTTTGAATCAAATGTTTGATAGTAGATATTTTTATGTCATTAGTCTAAACATAAATGAAATCCATAAAATCTCATTTAATCTGTACAGAATAATTGAATTTAATCTATAGAAATAATAATACAATTGTTTTTACATTATATTTGGTGAATGAGTCCAATTATTATGATTTTTCGAAAGAACAATGTAGAGTAAACTATAACTCTTTATTTAACACCGAAAATATTGCAAAAGTAATAGAGTAAGTCATTAGTATTGGTTGTTAGCATCTTCGCATTGATAGTGAGGACTGAGATTCATTAGTTTCTTTTTGGTACATATCCATCCTGTGTGGGTTACCATAGTATTATCATGAAGTCACAAGCATTATAAGCGGAGGTAAATGGTGGTTAGAAGTGGAATCCATGATGCTCATCCTGCTCTTTATGAGACTTGTCAGCTGGATGTACCCCATTTCACAAGCCAGTGGCTATATGGAGTCATAAACAAAACGGATAACGCAATGTCATTCAAGGCAACCGGTACTGGGTTCGATTCCTATGGTGCTCATCTACTCTGTGACGCAGGTACATCCAGCTGACGAGTTTCGAATAGGACAAAATGTTATTTCATAACGATTTCAGCTAGTGTCAAAGCGTGTGCTTACAGAATATATGTTTTGAGTGACATTTCATCTAATAGGATTACACTGTTCGTTGACCAAAACTAATAAATGTTAATTTCTAATAATGAAATCCGATAAAAGATGATTTATTCATTTATTAACTGAGTGTTACGACTACTTACCTCTGTTTTGGAGTAAAATTCTCATAAAAAACCACAAATGTAACAAGTAATCTTTAACTGAGTGACACCAGTAGAAATATTCAAGTCGAACATGAAATATGCCATGTTTATAATTATTTTATAACTTCCACTAAATCTCGACATAGCATTATTCCTAACCCTTCATTCTAAAGTCGAATTTCTCATTTTTTAACCGTATCATTTTTGTTTGGGTTTCCGTTGTAGTTGGTCATATTGACCAACTTACGTTTCATATACAGAGTTAACTTCTTCTGTTTGAGTTAATTTGAGGTAATGTTATTCCCACCAATACACACCCCTATCAAATTCTACGTCTATTAACATTTATAAACTGGATGGGTGATAGTTACAACTTTAAAGAGGCAAAAATATAAGTCCTGGAATAAAAGCGTCACTCTCCACCAAATGTTCGAGCACTGTCATACTTCCTAAAAACCAACAAATGTTGGGTTTGTTGATATCAAGGTTTCTCTTGATTTGTTTTTTGTTGAAGAGGCTTTTTTGACCTCTTAAAGGGTTTGCATATAGAGGACATACAGTCACGGTCGCCTAACCTCACCACTTCTCAACTTTGCCATCGACTACAGCTCTGAGGGAAGTACATGACAGTGGTGTAGAAACGTAACTTGGAAACTTTCGGACCTCCAGTAGGCGAATGACCTCTTTATGCGGTTATACGCAACGTATCCAAATCACATTTAATAAGCTGTAAGTTAGTGTACGGCATGTACTTTTTAAATGCAAATCACTTTAACAAAACTGGCAGGAACCGTGAGTGCTGGTTTGAGCATGATGGACGAAATCACTGTACATGCGAAAGGGGATTTTGCGTAGCTGTGCAAAGTTACCAATTATTTCCATGTTTTTCTACAAGCTAAAATTACGCAAAGATTCTAATATTCTCTAACAAATTTCTCGCAATTTCTTACGATTCTCATGATTTACAGATCCGCTTCAAACATCTATATCTAGTTCATTAACTGATGTGCATCAAAACTTTCTCATCATACTACTCTTCGTAAATTTAGGCTGTTTGTAACTGAGGAGAAGCTTCGAAAGAGAATAAATCGATTATACGCAAGAAATCTTGTTATTTATTTTAGTTTTATTCTTTTGGTTTCATTTCAGAATATTATCTATTTATTTTTGGTACCCAACTGTACCGTAATTTATGCATATTACACAAATGAAATGGTATTTGATGAGAGTTCCAGTTTGAACTCAAGTCGTTGGATAATTTCACTGCTAAACGGCGTGCCAGACTTTAGGAATATCATGAATTTGCCACACTCACACACAGTAAATATACCACATACTCAACAGTTTAACCTTGAAAATTGTTGTCTTTGAACAAAAACACACTTATGCCTCTTATCCCTCGCGAAGCAGAATAGGCCACTCACCAGCATTCTCCATCCAACGCGGTCCTGGGCAATCCTTTCCAGCTCTCCAGTTGTTGTTAATCTTTTTCATATCTGATTCAATTACCCAGCGTAATGTGTCCTTTGGCCTTCCTCTTCCCTTCAGGATTCCAAGTTAGGGCTTGCCTAGTGATACAGCTTGACACCCGAACTAATGATAGGGAGTGAATTAGTGGAGCAGGTCGATCGCTTCATTCATCTGGGAAGTCTTATCAGCCCTTGTGGTCTGGCGTGTGACGAAATCTCAGCACGGATACAGAAGGCTCGACTAGCTTTTGCCAACTTGCGTCATTTATGGCGTAGGCGAGATATCCGTCTATCAACCAAAGGACGGGATTACTGCGCAGCAGTTCGTTCCGTCCTACTTTATGGCAGTGAGTAGGGGATATTCGTAGGTTACTAGTATTTGACCATAGGTGTCTTCGAAAAATTGCTCGTATATCCTGGGACAATCGAGTAAATAACACAGTTGTTAGGAAACGGGTACTAGGTAAGGATGGAAAATCAATTGAAGTAGTGAAATCTCATCAGTTGAGATGGCTGGGACACGTGTTACGTATGCCCAACCACCGACTGCCCCGAAGTGCTATGCTTTGTGGTGTATGAGTAGGTTGGAAGAAGGCTAGGGGAGGCCAGACCAAAACATGGCACAAATCCATGAAATCACTAACAAGTGGACTGAGCCATGTTGGTAAGTGTAGACTATTTGGTTGGGGACCGCGAGGTGATAGCAACCGATGGTTAGAGACCCTGAATGACATGGCTCAAAATCGTTTGCATTGGCGCAGGTGCATACACTCATTGTGTTCTTCCAAATTCTAATCTCCTGATTCCTCCTTGTCTCTTTTTTCTCTCTTCTCAAATTTATTTCACTGGATTATACTCTTTATATAATATCTTCAAACCCTAGTCTTTCCGATTACTGCTTATACTCTTATTACCTCTACCATTACGGGATTTGAATCGACAACTGCATCCCTGTGCTAATGTGGTAACTCGAATTGATGTACGTACGTACGAAGTTCTACTTTGTTACTGACTGACTGAGTGGTACAGCTTGATGATTTCCATAATGTATGTCATATCCACTTCTAGCGTCTTTTCATAATTTCCTTTTCAGCTGAAGCTGGTTTGTTCTCTCCCACAGTAGGCTGCTGCTGATGCTTTCCGGTCAACAAACATTGAGTATCTTACATAGACAATTGTTTATAAATACCTGCACCGTTTTGATGATGGTTGTAGTAGTTTTCCAAGTTTCAGCTCCGTACAGTAGGACAGTCTTGACGTTCGTATTGTAGATTCTGACTTTGATATTGGTTGACAGTTGTTTAGAGTTCCACATGTTCCTCAATTGTTGAAATGCTGGCTTTGCTTTGCCAACCCGTGCCTCCACGCCTGCATCGGATCCTCCTTGTTCATTGATGATGCTGTCCAGGTACGTGAAAGTTTCCACCTCTCCCAGAGTTTCTCCATCAAGTGTGATTGGGTTGATGCTTTCCGTGTTGTATTTCAGGATCTTGCTTTTTCCCTTGTGTATACTGAGGCCTACTGATGCAGGGGCTGTTGCTACACTCGTTGTCTTCATTTGTTCGTAAACATCAACACAGCATTGCTTCAATTTATTTTTTATTGTTTAATTGAATCTTTCCATCGATGTTTAGGACTGCAATTGATCAGCCAATTATTGGCACATGTGTATCCTGTACGAATACAAAATTGAATTGAAAACGCAACCCATTTCACAAGCTAGTGGCTATCAGAGCTGAGCAGTAAAGTGGATAACACGATGGCGCTTGAAGGGAACGGTGTTGAGTTCGAGTCCTAGAACGATCATCAACTCTGAAATGCAGGTACATCCAACTGACGGGTCCGAAGTAGGAAGGAACGCGCGTCCTGGATCCCACTGCTAGCCACCATCCACCTTTGCTTACAACATTGTTCGTTATATATTAATTCCTCATTCAACTTGTGAATAAATATTATCATAAGTAGCTCATGTTTCCTTACTATGCTTACTGGACAATTGTTTGTTTGCGGCTACCTACTTTCACCTCTGAAATTTATCTTCAAATCATTGCCTGAATTTCATACAAAACCTGTAGCTAATTTTCAGAATGACCGTCAAATCTTTTCGTGAACAAAATTCAACAGCTAACATGTTGACCAATAAATTTACTGCTTTGTAGTTGCAAAAACAAGCAATGTATAAGTGAAGCCCTGAAAAATGACAAATCGTCAAAGATAAACAGTATATAATTACGAAAATATTATAAGATACCCACAATAAATTAGTATTCATAAATACACAGAAATTAGTCTTTAATACTAGCTAAGTAATCAACAATAATGTATTTTTGCCATTTCTGAAATATGATCTATACATAAATATGTTGAAGTATGAAAGACATTATTACATGAGTTTCAATAAAAATTACACTTGAAGACAAGGTAGTTTATTTTTAAATAGCTGAAAATAAACAACTAATATGAAGCCTAAAATTGCACCGAGTGCTGCTCCGAATTGTGTAGATAACCCAGCTAATCTGAGTCGCGTTGGTCTATGGGAATGGCTAGACAAACTCATCCATATCCATGTGCGCAAACTGGCAAATAAACAGCGTATCGCAATCCAAGCTAGGATCTATAGGATTTAGAAGACAATAAATAATCTAGTGTAAAAATCACTTATGTATTACAGTATTTTGCACGTTTGATCAAATTATAGGAACAATCCTTAGTTATTTGATAGCTTAGTGTTCACGACCAAATGATGTCCCGTATCACCAAGCATCCCTAACTACATTGATATTGGAACAGATACTCTAACCAGTAATATTGCAGAGAGTCAGGCAGTTAAGCATTGATCAAAGTGGCCCCACTTTAAACAGTATAGATAAGTTAAGCAAACGGGTTAAGATGATAATAGCGGTAGCAATAATAAACTAGAAAAAAACAAATTAATAATATATATGCTCAGAAATTACGAGTAGATCAGTTATTAACATAATCGCACTGATACTAACAAGTTCTTAATAATTTTAACCCTAGTCTCAAAAGTAGATTTCCGGAATCTCAAGAATTCTAATAACAAAACCAACAGTTCTTTATACAGTTCCTGTAGATTAATATAACGTTTTCATCCGAACACCCTGAGGTTCAATTCTTTCTATTTGAACTAGTATACCAAGGTGACTTGACATACATTTAATTACCTCAATTAATGCATATGCAAACTTCCATTAATCGCACTGTCACCATCATCACATAATCAAGCTTTCTTTTATCTTCTTGACATTTCGAAAAACGACTTTTGTCTTACAGTCAATCATTAAAACAGGCCATTTAGATGAATTAGAACAACAATTTCATAGTCCAACACCAACAATCAATATGCATACATGGATGTATTGATTGACAGATAAGATAAAAAAGAATTAACCACCCATTGCAAAAAGTCCTATTGTGCGTTAAAATTCACCAAAAAACTCGATGCATCATAAAATGTATTTCCGTTTGATATTAAATTGATCGTGACATTAACAGAAATGAGCTACGTTCAATCATGGATAGAGAATGAGTATACGAAAAAATAAGGTCGCATAATATAGTGATCAAATAAATGGTAAAATATTGTTTTGTACTAAGCAAGCATAGACATTTATCGAAATTTTTAAGTACAAGTGGTATTTGTTGGTTATTAGGAATGAAATTATATTTGTAGAAATCTAAGTGATTGAAACAGAGCAGTTCGGACCAGCGATGCGTTTCTTAGATAACGTCTTCACATCAAAAAGATTCAATACTTCACTTCTACCTAAAGTTTGAGCTGATTATATTGTTCAGAAGAAAAAGGAAAGCTCCACGACTAAACCATTCAGCTCAGAGAACGAAACTCCAACAAAAAGATTCGATATATGAAGATGACTAGTTAATTATTTGGTACAGATTTATCTTTGTGATTCTATTTATTATTAAGCGAAGAAATTATTTGGATTCAATCACTGAGATCTTAATAAATATGATTAGATTTCTAGTCTTTTCTACAAATAAAGTAAATGAACCCACTCACCAGGTATTTTAGTAGAAGTCACACTAAGTATGAGGGGTTAATGCTGCTATCCGGTTGCCTAAACTGACATAGGTGGAACGAGATTTTTCAATAATCTAGATATTTAATTTCTATCCATTTTTCACAATTGAGGATAAAAATCAAATCTACATATAACTCGTATTTCATCAGGTTGTAATTACACTAGGTGTTGATAAAGAACTAACACATTTTTATTGACTATGACTGGGAAGCCTTATAATTTGAAAATAATTCATTAAAATAAACAGAAAAAAAAGAATAAAACCAAGACGTAACGTACAGCACTGGCAGAACCGAAACCACCCAAATATGGTGGATTGGGACTTGAACTCGCCAAATATATAACGTAAGCAACAGGTATCAAAGAGATGAGTGAAATACTAATCCATTTATTTTGAAGTGAACGCGTATATGCATTATGCATAATTATGTCAGGTTTTTGTATGTAACAAATTTGATTCTGTTCACTTAATTCATGGTTCATAGTTTGTAAATTTTCGAATGTTGATTCATCAGTACTATCTATTTCCCTAGAATAATGATTGACAAGAAATGTAGTTAACACTGTCATTGCAGCAGAGAATGATCCTGACAGTGTAACTGCTAAATGATATGTAAGCGAGCCATACGCAGCACATGAATAAGATTGTATGGCTGGTAGAAATCCATAATTTGATGCACTAATGTAAATGATAAGTAAACATGATAAAAATGTGTTTGGTCCAAGCTGTTTTGTAATATTAACATCATTATGAGACTGTAGAGCTTGTTCATTATGATTCAACACAGAAACATCAACTAGAAAAATAGGCAAAAGGGGATTTAAAAGAGGATTACTGAACTTAACTTTATAGTTTATTGTCCAATGTTTAAAAGAGAAAACTAAGATATTTTCTTCCCATTAAAAATGAATTTACGTTGTTATTGTAATAACTCAATCTGCAAGTGAACGGTTAGCAACTTAAGCTGTGATATAATATGGCAAACAGTATGGAGATATAACTTTTGGGGCTACAATATGTAGGATTATTATTTATATATTCATCGTTAAATTAGCAGACGCTTAGATTGTTTTATATTTATATTTTGATATTACTAAGCTTTCGTTTGACCCATAGGTCATTGTCATATATATCTTATTTCAGATTTATCGTTAATTGCTCAATTCCCCAGTATTATGGTTTTTTACGACTTATGACTAGACTAAGTGAATACTGTAATTTCCCAAATATGTTGCTGTGTATTTAGGTATTTCAGGTACGTTATTGTATAAGCTTCGAGTCAGTACTGAATAAAATAAAGAACTAATCGGCTACCTATCTGTCTTCTAATTGGAAACTGAGTTAAAAGGAGCTCAAGGACCGATAAGCATGGGAAAACTAAAATTTATGGACGACTTCTGAGCAACACTAAAATCACCTTTAGAAACTTCAAACACTTACTAGGTTCGAAAGGGAGTTGTGAATCAATGTGAGGGACTAGGACTGATATTTGACCATAGCAGCGAATGAATTTCGTGCTACAACTCAGGAGGTGCTATTTGAGATCTGGTTGGTTCATCCATAAATCATAGTTCTACCATAAGAATGAAGGTCTTGGTTGTTGTTTATTGGTCACTGTATCGGTTGCTAAATAGAAAGTCACTGGTCCTACTGACAGTATAAACAAACTAATCGATAGTTGGACTAAAGAAAGATCATACAACTGTTCCTATAATTACGGCACGACGACAAGGAAAGTATAACAATCCAAGCAATCCGTTTCTCTCATTTCAATGTTGTATTAGTCTGGTACCTAAATGGTTGATAATATCTTATAACCATTTTCTATTTCCCCAGGACCTCCAACAATTGAACACAAAACGGAAGAAAATAGGGGACAAGTATGAAAAATGCTTTAGTTCCATGGTAGGTTAATGTAAAAAAGCACGAATATTTATGGGTTCATGGATGACCTTGATATTTTGAAAGCTTCTGAAATAAAATTAGTAACAAAATAGGTAATTATTCAACCAAAATATGACATAATCGATGGTTTTTCTAGAGGTTTGCAGGAAATTTCTATTCGTTGCTTGTTTTAATAAAACATTTTCAGTCTTCCCCTAGCTTCTAAAGACACTACCGATGACTTCTCGAGGAATCTCAACACGTGTTTCAGGTCTTTATAGAAACCATGGTAATCAGTACTAAACGTTACCTAACACGCTTTCTTACCAATCATTTAATGATAAAAAAATTACATGAATATTGCTTGAGGTTGACTGAACAGGCGAAAATGAGTTTCAGGGACAACATCAAACAGATGAAAATCACGTGGAATAGGTAGAAATAAATTCATTACCGAATATTACTACTATTGTAAATGCATATATTTTATTTGAATGTCTTGCAGGTGAACTAAGCCTTTAAGAATCACATGTTTTAATTTCACATATTAACGCATAATCACGTTATAAGTGGAACAATGGCCTTGTAATTTTTCCCGTGAAATGTGAAAAGGGCAACATGTATCGTATTTTTTGTGCAAGTCACAATCATGTGATAGAACACCTCAAGTCGTATGTCAAATGTGTATGTCCAAACATCCACATACAATCGAACTGTGAGATATGAGCGTGGAAAAAAGAACAACAACGAACAGATTAGTGTAAGGTAGTGTAATAATAATAATAATAAAATCATAATAATAACAATAATAATAATAATAAAATAATAATAATAATAATAATAATAATAATAATAATAATAATAATAATAATAATAATAATAGTAATAATAGAGGAAACGGAAAGGTACAATCAGAAGAAATCTTCCAGTGAAGGAAGATACAACCACTTTTTATGAAGAAAGTAAAAGAATGTTACACCAGGAACGCCACTGGCTTCTATTCTGAGCCATATCTGACAATGTCTCGAGCCACTGTGTTGCACCATCTCTCGGATCATAATCAGGGAGTCCTGAAACTACTTTTCTTGCTTCAACTAACAGTCAAATGATTCGAATTATTATTATTATTATTATTATTATTATTATTATTATTATTATTATTTACTACATCATTATTCATCCTCTTTTATTCCTACTCCGTCTATACTTATTTTCTCGACTTATACAGCAGCTCGTCTATGGTAGAAATTCGACTCTATCTAAACGTTCTCGAGTCACTGTCCGGTTGAAAATTGTATGTTACCACCGAATACGAGTACTGAAGCAGTTTTTCTGAAGCCACATGCACCATTCAAACTAGCTACCTTCAACGTTCGCACACTTATGCAGGTTGGACAACAGATAGGGCTGGTTATGTCTTTGGAAAGTCTTAATATCGACGTTTTTGTCTATCCAAGACTCGTATTCCAAACTGTGGTGAAGTACTACAAATTCGCTCTCGATCTGTCGCTTCGAAAAGCTTGTTTTACGTGCGATTATCCGAGGATCCTGTGGCATCTTCGTCTGCTCTTGCTGACGTTGGTGTCGCACTAAGCGCTAGAGCTGAGGCAGCACTAATCGAATGGATCCCCATTAACAATCGGCTGGTTATGTGCCCTTAGATTCTGAGCCATATCTGATAACGTCTCTAGCCACTGTGTTGCACCATCTCTCAGACCCCAACCCGAGGAGTCGTGAAGGACCAACACAAGCCAGTCCTTTACAGCTTTCTTTCATGCCACGACACCATGTCATGCACTGACCACCTCTCCGCTTCTCCCAACCAGTCCCAGAGTCGGCAAATAATGCACGACGTGGAATTCTTTGGGACGACATTCGGAGAACATGTCTAAGCCACCGAAGTCGGTCTTTCAAGATGGTGACACCAATTGCATTATCATCTCTGCTCCAGAACACACGATGCCGAACCTCTGCATTACTAACATAATGTTGCCACTGAATGTCAGCAATCCTTCGGAGACAGCGATGATCGAACACAGAGAGTCGTCTAACGTATTCAACTCGGAGAGGCCAGGTTTCACAAGCATAGAGCAAAACTGCTCTCACCGACGCGTTGTAGATCCGACCCTTTACAGCCAGACTAACATCACGAAGGCGCCAAAGATGGCCAAGATTGGCATAAGCCGCTCTGGCTTCCACCATACGTGCATTGATCTCATCAATCACGTCACCATCAGCACTTATGCAGCTACCCAGATACACGAACTTCTCGACTACTTCTATCTGCTCACCATCCAAGCTGAGTACACGATTAGGATCCTGCAAGTCTTGTAGAAGTACTTTGCACTTCGAAGGTCCAAAGCACATAACATACCTATAGACACTGATTGCCAACTGATTAAGTGCGGATTGCATGCCTTGGGCATTATCGCACAGTAAGACAATATCGTCCGCATACTCAAGGTCGAGAAGTCTTTCTCCAGGCAACAGATCCACACCATCATTACTTACATCCATCAGAGCTGTTTCCACAATGTCGTCGATGGCGAAGTTGAAGAGGAATGGTGAAATTGGACAACCCTGTCTAACCCCACTGCTCGAATGGAACAATGGAGAAAGGTGATTGTATGCCCTCACTCTGCATGACGTGTTTGTATATAGGGCTTTTAGGATGTTAATAAACTTCTCAAGCACACCCTTCTTCAATAGACAATCCCAGAGAACAGTCCTGTCCAGAGAATCGAAGGCAGCACTAATGTCAAGAAACACTACGATTGTTGGCCTTTGAAAAGTATGACGGTGTTCTAACATTTGACGGAGGGTGAAGATATGATCAATACATCCTCGACCAGAACGAAGACCAACCTGCTCCTTGCGAGTCAATCTTTCTCGCGTTTTGAACAACCTACGATGTATGACGGAGGCCAATGGCTTGGACGCAATCGGAAGTAGACTTATCCCCGGTAGTTGTTACAGGAACGACGTGAACCCTATTTAAAGATATGGACAACTATCGACTCATTCCATGACGTCGGTACACTCTCTAGCTCCCAGACCTTTGTAAACAACATAGTCAGTTCCTTAGTCAGAAAGTCACCATCTTTAAAAAGAGCCGGAGGTAAGTCATCTAGGCCAGGTGATTTGTAGCGCTTCAAGAGTTGTAGTTCCTTGAGGACTTCCGCCTCATTTGGTGGATCAGTCGTCACCGACCATGTAGGGCAGGACAGTCTGACCGATGTTGCCGGAGCAGCAGGCCAGTTGAACTGCCCTTCAAAGAATTCTGCCCATCGTCCAAGACGTCGATGGATGTTAGTGATTGGCATCCCGTCATCCTCACAGTTTGTTTCGCTCACACCAGACTTCTTGCTGCCAGTGGCTTGGATGAGTTGGAAGAGCTTCCGGTAATTCCCAGATGCTGCTGCTGCTGCTTTCAGCTCATTAGCATGCTCCGACCACCATCAGGCATCTCAGTCCTTACGCAATCTTTGCTCAATTCCATTGCGTAACATCCTTCGTTTGCGGTCAAACTCACGGCCACCCGGAGTAAACCGACGGCCTTCGATGAGTTGTAAGGAGCTTGAAGAAACCCAGTGCTTATAAGCGGGATGTTTCGCAAACTCACAACTGACTGTAACCGCCATTTTCCTGGCGTCATGCAATTGCAACCAATGCCCAACTATACTTTTCGGTGGAATGGTAGCTAGCCTAGAAGCTAGCTTGGCTCGATACTTACTTGCAACAGAAGTTGCAACCAGCTTGCTAACATCAATCTGTTGGTGGTGATCACTTCGTTGTCCACTGAAAAGTAAGGTAAGATTTGCGCAGACCAAGGCATGGTCAGAGTGCAGATAGGTACTACAAAAGGAGCGGCAGTCTTGTACACAACCACGCCAGCGGTAGCTGATCGCGATGTGATCAATCTGAGTCCAGGCTTAGGATGCAGAGGGATGATGCCAGCTGGCACATCGGCGATGATTGTGCCGAAAGTTAGTACTAGCCAGAAACAGGTTGTGGTCTGTGCATAGTTGCAGTAGACGGTCTCTGTTATTTGTCCTGCGACCAACAAGTCCCCATCGGCCAACTAAACGACTCTCTTCTGTGCCTAGACGCCCCATCTGAGCATTCAAGTCTCCGGCTAGTACTACAATATCTGTCGAACGCACTTTCTGGAGAAGAACAGATAACTGGTGGTAAAATTCATCCTTGATCGCATCCCGGCTGCAATCTGTTGGGGCATAGGCGGAGATGACGAAAAGACATCGTTTCTCACTTCGATGGAACTTTCTAATCTAACAGCACATAAACAACCGACTGGTAATGGGGATCCATTCGATTAGTGCTGCCTCAGCTCTAGCGCTTAGTGCGACACCAACGTCAGCAAGAGCAGACGAAGATGCCACAGGATCCTCGGATAATCGCACGTAAAACAAGCTTTTCGAAGCGACAGATCGAGAGCGAATTTGTAGTACTTCACCACAGTCTGGAATACGAGTCTTGGATAGACAAAAACGTCGATATTAAGACTTTCCAAAGACATAACCAGCCCTATCTGTTGTCCAACCTGCATAAGTGTGCGAACGTTGAAGGTAGCTAGTTTGAATGGTGCACGTGGCTTCAGAAAAACTGCTTCAGTACTCGTATTCGGTGGTAACATACAATTTTCAACCGGACAGTGACTCGAGAACGTTTAGATAGAGTCGAATTTCTACCATAGACGAGCTGCTGTATAAGTCGAGAAAATAAGTATAGACGGAGTAGGAATAAAAGAGGATGAATAATGATGTAGTAAATAATAATAATAATAATAATAATAATAATAATAATAATAATAATAATAACAATAATAATAATAATAATAGTAATAGTAATAATAGTGATGACAATAATAATAATAATAATAATTCGAATCATTTGACTGTTAGTTGAAGCAAGAAAAGTAGTTTCCATAATTGTAGACAGTTCATCATTTGTGTGTGGGCTGTGATACTGCCCGGGTGCCCAGACCGAAGCAGGTGGTTTTCGTAGGGGGCCCCACACGCCGAGCCTTTGACCTAAAGGTCTGATCCCCAAGGCAGGGGAGCATCGTGAGGAGATGCAGTTCCATAGTAGCCGGTGACCAACGATTGATTTACACGCCATTTGTTCCAGCAGGGTACTAGAGCCGATGGTTTGTATATAAACTCAGTATGTTTGAAATATTTTATTCATATCGCAGAGGCTGAGATTTGTGTTCTGGACTCAAGAAGGACTGATAAGGACTCTAGACTGCTCGTACGGTTTTATGCGTCATTGGTCCGGTTGATACGTCACTGTTCTCTAATTGGCGGTATCATTACGTTATATAATAATAGGGCGCAATGCCACAAGTAATGGCAGAGAGATTTGGTATCGCAATGTTGATGCAATCTTTTCAAATGATTGTAGGACAAAGACTACCTACAAACGTAGAGGGTAAGTTAACACGTGGCAGTGGAAAATATGACTGTCGTTGAGCGTGTTCATACATAATTTGGTATTTTTATCCCTGTATGTTTATTTTTGTTGTTCGAGTTTACTGGAATATACTTTGTCCCTTTCCGATTCTTGTTTTAATTTATTATACCAGAACTCATCGATTTATGCTTAAGAACATACTTTCAATTCGACAATAAAATCTGAGAATAGATGAATGGAACACCATTGGGATTACCAATATCAGGACTTATTGCAGAGGCAGTGATGCAAAGACAAGAAACCTCGATTTTACCAGTGATCAAGCTAAAAATGTGAATTCGTTATGTGGAAGACACATAATTCATCATTAAAAACGACGAACTAGAAAACACCTACAATTTGATCAACAATGTCTTCGTTGACAGGAAATTCACATTGGAAAAGGAATCGAACAATAAACTATCATTCTTGGATGTACTGATCACCGGAACCGAGACTGAAAAGCTGCAGACTTAAGTATATCAGAAGCAAACCCACACAGATTAAATTCTCAACTACAGTAGTAACAACTCAAGAACTCACAAAATCAACTCCGTACAAATTCTGTCCAAAAGAGTGAGAACATAGTGTAACACACTCCAACTCACCAGCAAAAATGAAGTCAAATATAGAAGCCGACAAAAAAATCACCCTACCATATATAAAAGACAGATTAGAAATTACGATATTATGGAAGCCCTTTAAAATAGATGAGGTACACAAGTCAGTGAAATCATTTAAATCAATTCACATGCAAAATGAGGGATGAAAGATCAGAAGAAAAACCCAACATTATTTACAAGATGAGCTGTCCAAATTATGAGAAAAACTACATCGCTTGCACAAATATCAACTAGCGGTCAAATGCCATGATATATCTTCGTTTATATCAATGGATGTGGACAGCTGTGGACATACACTCGACTAGAAAAAAATGTTGAAAACTAGGATAGAGGGGATATTAAGAACACCAGGGAATTTTTAGAAGCTTGGGACTCAAGTTAATTAGAAATTAACAAACATATCGAAATCGATTTATCGACCAATCGGAAAAATCATGAACAGATATAAAATCAAAAATCAGATCGAAGGGAGATATAATCAAAATGAAGATGCAGATAACGCCAAGTTGAAAGTCAAAAATAACCAATTAAGATTGAAGTCGATAGAACAACCTGTAGATCATATGTGGATAAATTCGAATGTTTTACTTCTACCTGAAGTTTTTGCTGTTGTTGAGAAGAAAAATGAAAGCTCCACGACCAAATCATCCATCACAGAGAACGAAAACCCAATAAGATTGTCCACCTAAGCTACAAACCCTTTCCCCCACTTAAAAATTATATGTGCACATACTAGGCATTAGAAGAGCGTAACATTAACAACATAGAACATGATCATTAAAAACAGATGACATGAAATTGTCAATCCATCTGTACATAATGGCCATATGAACGATAACTCTTATTATCATTAATATCGTTATTGATAGTAACAATAATGACAACAATAATATAAATGATAATAATAACAATAATGATAATAATAAATTTCAGTAATCTAGTAGATCTATAGATGTCAATCCACCAACGACGGGAGGAATCAGGATGGCCATCTGACAAATCAAGGGCGGGAAAGCAGCAGGATCCGACAAGGCAAGCTTCCACTCGAGAACTATATTTTCTCCATGAGTGTCTTCGCCAGCATGTTCTACCAACAAGTGTAAGATATAGACCTCCAATCAACTGCCCATTAGGATGGAAAATAGCTTAGCAAAGTGGAAGAAAAATGGTACACCTAATGATAACGGATGCACACTACAGGATCCGCAAATGCCAACACGTCATAGAAGACCATAAGATGAAGCTACAAAGGACGCTCACATCAGAACATTTGGAAATCGTGACAACAGCCATCGATATATCATGCAAACGACACAGAGAACAAAGAAGAAACACCTTAAAGAAAAAACTAATCAAGATCTCAAAACCACCCATGGAAGAAAACACAAACAACTACGTGACCAATCTGTCAAAACAACCACTAACAAATACGGAAGAACACCTGCTCCAAAAGGGATTAAACTTCAATATAAGCGACGCCTCAAAGCTGGAGTTCTTCGCAGCACTAGAGTCATCACTCAAAACTTCCGGAATCAGTGAAGAAGCACAACAGGAAATAAGGCAAACTACAGTACCGATAACTCAACAGGTGAAAGAAAACAACCAACTGACTCCACAAGAACAAAAGGCCTTGAAGGAACTCAGAAATAGAAAGGACATTATCATAATACCAGCGGAAAAAGGACGCACCACAGTAATCATGGACAAAGAAGAATACGTCAACAAAGCCGAAGAACTACTCGAAGATAAGAGCACATACAAACTGATGGACACAAATCCCGTCAAAAAATTAGACAACCAAATCTCAAAGACTTTAAACAAGCTAGTCAAAGCAGGAGAAATAACAAAACAAGACCAATGGAGAATGAAATCCAGTGGACCAGTACTCCCTCGATTCTACGGCAGACCCAAAATACACAGACCAAACATTCCACTACGTCCAGTTGTAGCACTACCCGGAACACCAACGTACAATTTGTCAAAAGAAATTTCACCAATACTGAGACATCTAGTAGATTCAGCCAACCACTCCGTCAAATCCCCAACACAATTCCTGGACCAAATTAAGGATATTCAAATCAACAACGACGAACTCATGATATCATTCGACGTAACAGCACTGTTCACCTCAATTGAACCACAGTTAGCAAAAATACTATATCCCTGCTGCTCAACAACGACACAAATCTCAATGAATACACGAAGCTTCAAATTCAAAGTCTACTGGAACTCATCGATTCATGCTTAAAAACGTATTTTCAATGCAACAACAAAATCTACGAACAAACGAAAGGGACACCAATATCAGGACTGATCGCAGAGGCAGTGATGCAAAGACTAGAAGCCACTATATTACCAGTGATCAAGCCAAAATTTGGATTCGCTATGTAGACGATACCTTCGTCATCGTCGAAAAGAATGGGCTGGAAAAAACTTACAAACTGATCAACAACGTTTTCAATGACATCAAGTTCGCAATGGAACAGGAGTCAAACAACCAACTAGCATTCTTGGATATATTGATTACTAGAACCGACACAGGAAAACTGGAAACTCAAGTATATAGGAAACCGACACATACAGATCAAATCCTCAACTACAACAACAACAAGCCAAGAGCTCACAAAGTCAACTGCATACACAATTTGTTCAAGAGGGCGAGGACACACTGCAGCACGAAAAAATGAAGAGAAATACCTGAAGGACATATTTCAAAAGAACGGCTACCCAATCAACTTCATCAAAAAACACTAACCGCACGCAGCATCAGAACCCAAGTCAAGCACAAAAATCAACAAAAGGATCACCCTACCGTACATACAAGGAATATCAGAAACCACAACGAGACTGCTGAAAACCTTAGGGATAGGTGTGGCGCACAAACCGACAAAATCACTACAATCAATCCTATGCAAACCAAAGGATGAAATAACAAAGGAAAACAAATCAAACATCATCTGCAAAATAAATTGTACCAACTGCGAAAAACACTACATCGGACAAAGCGGACGCCCCCTCCACCTTCGCCTACATGAACATCAATTAGCAGTCAAACGCCATGATATCTCTTCACTTATATCAATACACGTGGACAACTGCGGACACTCATTTGATTGGAAAAATGTGGAAATCTTAGACAGAGGAGACTCCAAAAACACCAGAGAATTTTTAGAAGCCTGGCACTCAGGTCAATCAGCAATCAACAAGCATATTGAAATCAATCCAATTTATCAACCAATCAGAAAAGTCATGCACAAACATAAGAACAAAAATCAAAACAATTGGAAACACAACCAAAACAAAGAAGTAAACAACGACAAATTTAAGGTCAATAAGAACCAATCAACATCGAGGTGCACAGAACAAGCTGTGAAACATATGGAGAAATTCGAACACTTCACTTCTATCTGAAGTTTGTGCTGATGATGTCGTTCAGAAGAACGATGTAAGCTCCACGACCAAACCATCCAGCTCAGAGAACAAAACTCTACCAAAAAGGATCCGACAATATACCAGCTGAACCATTGAAGTCAGGCATCGAAGTAACTACAAACATGCTTTACCTTCTATTCAAGAAGATTTGGGAGGAGGAACAAGTGCTGATGGACTGGAAAGAACAGCTCATCAAGATTCCGAAGAGAGGCGATCTGAGCAAGTGTGGGAACTACAGAGGCATCACATTACTGTCAGTATCAGTAAACGTTTCAACAGAGTGTTGCTGAACCGGATGAAAGATTTAGTAGACGCCCAACCTCGAGATCGCCAGACCATATTCCCCAGGGATCAGTCGTGCACAGACCAAATCGCAACATTACGGATCATCGTTCAACAACCAGTTGAGTGGATATCGACACTATACATCAATTTTATTGACTATGAGGAGGCGTTTGACAATGTGGATAGGAGGACTTTATAGAAACTCCTTCGACACTATCAGTGATTAGCTGAGAAGATCGTTAACATGATCCAGAATTCATGCAAAGTGGTGCATGGAGGACAGTTGACAGATGCATTGGAAGTGAAGACCGGAGTCAGACAAGGTCTCTTACTCTGCTCCTCCCTCCTTCTCCTGGTGGTTGACTGGATTATGAAGACCTCGTTAGCTGAGAGGAAACACGGAATACAATGGACAGCTCGGAATCAATTAGACGATTTGGACTTCGCAGATGATCTGGCCCTCCTATCCCACACACACGAACAAATGCGGATGAAGGCAACGAGTGTAGCAACAGCCCCTGCATCAGTAGGCCTCAGTATACACAAGGGAAAAAGCAAGATCCTGAAATACAACACGGAAAGCATCAACCCAATCACACTTGATGGAGAAACTCTGGGAGAGGTGGAAACTTTCACGTACCTGGACAGCATCATCAATGAACAAGGAGGATCCGATGCAGGCGTGAAGGCACGGGTTGGCAAAGCAAAGCCAGCATTTCAACAATTGAGGAACATGTGGAACTCTAAACAACTGTCAACCAATATCAAAGTCAGAATCTACAATACGAACGTCAAGACTGTCCTACTGTACGGAGCTGAAACTTGGAAAACTACTACAACCATCATCAAAACGGTGCAGGTATTTATAAACAATTGTCTATGTAAGATACTCAATGTTTGTTGACCGGAAAGCATCAGCAGCAGCCTACTGTGGGAGAGAACAAACCAGCTTCAGCTGAAAAGGAAATTATGAAAAGACGCTAGAAGTGGATATGACATACATTATGGAAATCATCAAGCTGTATCACTAGGCAAGCCCTTACTTGGAATCCTGAAAGGAAGCAGGAAAGAGGAAGGCCAAGGAACACATTACGCTGGGAAATGGAATCAGATATGAAAAGGATTAACAACAGCTGGAGTGCAGGAAAGGATTGCTCAGGACAGGGTTGGATGGAGAATGTTGGTGAGCGACCTATTCTCCTTCACTAGGAGTAACAGGCGTATGTAAGTAAATAATCTAGTACATGTCAGTGTACGGTTTTTTGAGTTATATTTATTGTTAGAAAGTAATATTATTTAGCTACATAAACTGAAATTTAAAAGTAGTTCAGTCAGTAACTGTAGAAATTACTAAGAGGTTTGTTTTCTCTACACGATTATCATTATACCCAAGCCTTTTCAACATAATAAACTTATGCTTTGTTAATAAGTTTTCACTTTCAATTCATAAAAATGTCGTCATAAAATCAAATTCATATAATTCCATAAACAAAAGTAAAACAAAACAAAATAGAAACATACCATTTTGAATGTTTTCGAAAATATCATTAGAAATATGTTGATCTTCATTTGATTTAAATCTTTCTAGATTATTGTGACTTATGCTATGAATATTTGCATTAGATTCTAATATGAAATTAGTTTTTCGATAATGTTCATGAATAACTTGACCTAAACCAATAGGTGAACAATCCAATAATGTGAATGCAGTTAAAGATAACAACAAAACAATACATAATAGATATATGAATGTACTGACAGAGAAACGTGGTGGTGGATAAAAAGGGACCACATGAAGTGTATCATTAACTGAAGAAGAAAAAAACAAATAAATTGAAAGAATCATCAACAGTTTAACAGAATTGTTTATTTTATTATTAAGAAAATGTATGCCAATATCTCGATACATATTTGTTAGTACGTTTGTGTTATTTCAATTCAACATATTTTCGCTAAATATAAAAAACATTACACTTGTAGTGTCTAGTACTATGTCAAGTTCACATAGGTTATTTCAGCTTTCAAATAGACCGATTGATTTATAATTAGACCTTATCAATTATTACTGACCTTGACTGTTTTTACATGAGCGTATTCGTATTGCTTACCTTATTCATCACATGTCTTCAGCTTATTTTCGTCTGAGCATAAATAGTGAGTCGCGTTTTATCAAATTGGATTGGCACATTGCCTTCATTTTACCACTTCTCACCTTTAATGTCTGTCTGAATAAACGAATTCCTGATATAAATTTATTAAACTCAATCCGTATTTGACCTATTATTACACCGTCGCACAAACAAGGTTAACCTAGGTGTAATATACGAAGTTAAATGGAAGGTTTATATCTATGGCGTATTTAAAACGTGACTCAAGAAGAATAGACAAATTAGTCCATCCGGAAGCTAGAATAACCTATATAGGCTAGATACAGTACTAGACACTACAAACTAACCGTTAACATTAATAACTAATAACTAGGATGTAATCCCGTGGTTAAGGCATTTGACTTTCAAACACTAAGTTGCAGGTTCAAAACCTACCTGGTATTATCTAAGTGGCCCTTCCTCTAATAACTAAAATGCGGCTTGAAGCCAAGTAAACGAATATGTAACCGGTAACTAAATGATAATAATTATTTTTATTATTATGGCTATGAGAAAACTTAGGAAATAACCAAATTGGTTATTATATCAGCACAAAATCAACATAAAAAACAGTCCTGTTAACTGATTTATCTATGTATCCAGCTCCTTAATTAACATAATCAACTTAACCTGACAGTTCAATTACGAGTCAAACAGCAGGGTGATAATAACTGTTAGTGAAAGTGAATGAGGTAAATTCGAACCCCAAAGAGATCGATTTTCTCAAAATAACAAATACATCTTGCTTGTAAGATCCGACTAACATGAAGCTTAAGTCCAAGGCTCTCCACTGAATCTTCGCAATTATTTAACAACACAATAGTGCATAAAATAACGAGTCACTCAGTCTGTTGGGTACATTAAAACCTGATTGATAAAATTCAATCACACTTAGGGACTAGACAACATAACATAGCTTATTACCCAATGATTAGTTAGTTTAAACATTGCTATTGTGAAAGGGGGAGGATTCTAAACTCAAAAACTATGATTTACTTGTGATTAATAATCATGACAGTTAAGTGAAGGGTTCTGTCGCCACGTTGACAAGTACGCTATCTATCAGTCAGGTACATAAGATTTCCACTATAAGAGGATGAGTGCCATTTGTTTATTTCGATTATTCACAGTTTTCATTAACTAAAGTTATATCAACAGATTATGTATGGATCAGTAATCATAAAATGAGTAAAGTACACACTAATGAAATAACCATTTCATCCAAATACAAAAAAATTATTAGCACCAACAATAACATAGATGTAATATCATTTTAAACTTTGTCAGACAATTAGTTGTATGCATATGGAATCTTAGATAAAAAGAAAATCATACTAATTATACCTGTTTTATTGATACATTCCGGTTCTGACCCAACTCCTTGAATAAGGGCTAATATACTTGGAACTAAATCACTAAATGCTTCACCGAAATGTAATGCACCTACATACAATTGAGGCATTCCATTCAAATAGGTAATAAATGTAACCGATGATGTACAATCAACAATTGAAGCAAACAAAGCTAAAACAAATAATCCAATACTATGGTAACCGGGTTTTAATATTGATACATAAGCTACCGACTAAAAATAAGGAAAAAAGATGACAATAAAAAAAGTATGATGATGAAACGAAGATATACATACTGAGTGAATTGATATTAAGTATTACATTTATTAAAAAAAAACGACAATTCATTTAACTACTGATGTGAATCAACACTCTAATTACTCAGTTTCAACAAGTGAGTTGAGAGTTAAAACTTATTCTTTTTACTAATGTTAAACGAAAAATGCAGACAAGCACAACTCAATACGAAATAATAAATAAATTGCTATATTTTAATGACCACTATATACAGTGATTATATTATCTTTGAGTAATTAAATTTACTGAATGCCCGATTATAATTGATGCGTTCTTCTTCCGTTTACCATGTCTTGAAGAATATACATCACTCAATTCTATCCAAATCAAAACAAGAACCAAAGAGGACAATATATTTTTCAATAAACTCAAGCAACAAAAGCATTAGAGCTTAAGTATATAATGTACATAAAAATATTCTAGCATTTTCTCGATTCATTCGCTGACACTGATTAATTAAAAAATACATTAGTTAGTGTATACTGATATGATTCTGATCACAATATTCAATAGTTAGGACTTTATTCAACAAGCAATAATGGTAAAAGTTGATGTAAACATTAAATACTAAAGTAGAGCTCGAACTTTTAATCTGATGAATTAAAATCGATTATCTAAACCGATCAGCTAGAATCACAATTAAATAAAGACATAATTACAAAGTTAACCCAAGAGATAATTAAATATTCAGAAATTTTGATGAGTAATTTGTGGCTTTTTATGGGTCACATACAAGAATTTGTACCAAAATGTGCTATTGTATATTTTAATAGGTCTTTGGAAACTGTGAAAGTGGTAACACAGTATTTTATTTTCTGTTTTAGAAATGACTGTAAGTTCAACTCTCTCATTTTCATTACCCAAATAGAAGCAGGATCACTTCGGTCATTGAAGAAGCGAAAACAATTAGGAATAAGTGGCAAAAAAAATAATGACCATATAAAAATAACTTTATCATTAAATATAGTGATTTACAAAATATGAATTTAGAAGCTTGTAAAGTAAAGATAGAAATCCTAAAGTTTAGGAACTGTCATAAATTGTTTGCTAAGGATAAAATAACAAACCATGTAAAAATGTTACAAACATCCATTTAAAGACTTTGGGTTTAGAAAAAATGTTTGCATTAAGTAAAAAGCAACCAAATGCATAACCTCACAAGTGACTATATTCAAAAAAGAATAAGTAAATTTTCTCATTCAAAAATAATTATCTATACTTCGCTTCATAAAATGTAGGATTGTATCAAACGTGAATCATATTAATTTGAAAGATTTGAGTATTGACAGAATTATAACACAAAGAATGCCCATATTGGAAAATTGAAAAAATAAGCTGATAATATGATAGATATACCAGAAGAGATAAACACAGTGTTATCTTGGAAATTCATACACTTGTATACCGACTCGTGACTATAATTTTTATCAACATAAAGCAAAGAAGGCAACGGTTGTGAAGCACGGTGTCCAAGATTTGATACTGATACTCAATTTTATTATACACGAGCCCAGCTAGTTATTAGTGAAAAGACGGAGAGTGAGAAAGTTTATAACCGAAAGAATGAAAATAAGTCAGTAAGATGAAGATTATAATGTACAGAACGCAAAAGTACTCCAATTCAAAGAAAGCTGAGGAGTGAATGTGTCCACATCACTTGATCCGTTGTTTCACTAAATGACTTTCCCAGACTGCTTAGTCAGGAAGACAACATGATTACTTACATGACTTAAACCAACTTCTTAAAACTTAGTATATTGATCTGACATATATTTATCTGATCACTGAACATTTTTCGCCCTACTTCAACTCCAAGCAGCATAATGACTTAAATTTGATGATACAGCGTACAAAGTGTATCTCAATCAATGATTATACTACACAACTTCATCAAATAAGTATCACATTTTATCTAAAAATATACATCTGCATACACCACTACTCGTTAAATTTACTAAACATAAGAGATCTGCTGAAGGTGTCTGTAAATTAACAGTTGTGACACATTTAGACACTTTTCAACCGCTAATTAGGTACCATGAACTGTTGGTTAGTAGACTTGACTATTAATCAACATTAGGTCATGGTACTGCATTCATAGATGTTGCAAAAATTTATAGTAAGAACTTATCCTGAAACAATGTTCTGTATTTACGAGGTCAAGACAAAAGTGAACTAAAATGGGAAATGGATATCTCCGACAAAAAGCACCAGACGTAGTTACTTATAACATTATCAGTAAAGTGTTCCAAAGAGAATGTCAATTAGGTATACTAATAATGTTAGTAAATTGATGAGTTTTTAATGGGGTCAAACAAAACTCGTAAGGGTTAGTTTTCCTTGATTATCAACAAAATTCTAGTGATGAATTCAGACTGCATCTAGGTAGCATTTTGTTACATAATACATTGAGATTGCAACTTGAATTATTGTCTACATAACCATATACCATCTGATATTTTTTTCTTCTTAAAGGTGAAACAGTACTTCAAACTATCAGCACGACTAAAAAACGACACTTCGAATGTCAGTAGTGAAGGTGAAAACAGCTTTAATTTCATCGACTCTCCAGAAATTCTTGGTCTAAGAGGTCTGACGAATAAAAATATATGTGTAATTTTTTTATAGCATTATGAGCATGACATCACAATTTTGCGACTCTGTTTGCTCATCCCAGAATATGTCATTCAATTTGCAAACTTCGGTTTGTGTTGTGGGATGGTGAGTCATTGACTGATATCTTCTCCTTCATTTTCATTAAGTTCTTATACTTATAAAAGCCTTTCTGTGTTTCAATGAGTTATTTCATTCGATTTATCACAAACCATTATGACGAAATGAACAGATGTATATCTGTGCCAAATTTTAAGCCATTAGAAATAATTCAAAATTAAATACTAATCAAAGGAATGCAACATTAACTTAACTATTAACTTACACCGCCAACTAAAAGGCATACATGTGCATAGAAAAATTAACGGATTTTCAGTTAGAATAATTATCATGCAGTTGAAACTATTCGAGAGAATAAACGACAAACTAATTCATATCAAATTATTTCGAAACTGATAATGTAAATTTATGTATCAATGCCCAGGTTGAACTTGATAGTTTTAAATAAATTGAGTATTGGGTAGAAAGCTAATAATAAATATTTTGATATATCCCAATGACTAGAAAATTGTATTTCTGACGTTTCATGACTTAATGTAAGTCACTTCTTCAGAGTAAATAAATAACCGAATTAAATTAACAAAAGTTTAAATAGTACGAAGGAGAAACGGGGAATATCTGTAGTAAAATCAAAATCGCAATAAGTTTAAACATGTCAAAGTCATGTTATTTTGGTCAAGATGATTCTCTATGACATATCAATTTGTGTGTAAGAAGGTTTCTTCAGTAAGACAATAACAGCTCCATGCATGTTTGTCAACATTTTCTAACGCATAGTTCAATAAAGATCTGCAGTTTTCTTGATAATCAAAAGATAAAATATATCTAAATCTAGCGAACATAACAGTACTTACGTTCCAAAACTGCGAAATCAATATGCATGATATTAGACCGACGGCGAGTATTAAATAGTTGGCTATCCTTTCAGGTGGTTGTAAACAACGTGAACAAAATCCATTTGTTTTAGCTTTGAAAAATTTTGTCAACGGAACATAGATCATTGGTCCCACATTTGCTATCTGGTAATGTATAAACAAGGAAAATGTGGGATATCTGTACTTAAGGACAAACAGACAATGTAAAGATGTGGACAAATAAACAGTTAGATTCTACTCCTCCATACGTCATTCAGGCAACCACATTACTAGTAGCACGCACGTTTTTATACGGTTTAAACAGCTACGAAGTACGTTTCCTGACAGTCGACTAGGCAGACGAATATTATATCTACTGTGCAATACTCCCTTTGGTAATAATATGAGTGTCCTACAAACATTCTTCTTAATTGTAAAATTGTTTCTAGGGAAACTATGGGTGGTGTTCGCATCATAGAATGATACTATGTTAACAAGGCTACCGAGATCAGAGAGTGTCGGACAGTTGCTTCATTTTATTTGGGATTTTTCAATAGAGTTTACTTTATCGTTCTTCCCAGGATATTATTCAGGATTTTGACGTCCCGCAATTTGTACATTGGTTCTGATTAACTGAGTTTAAAACCAATCGTTAAAATTTCCTAAAATTAAACTACTTTACTAAGCAATTGTGATAATGAAGTATCAGTCATCATATAAAAATTCTGGGAAAGAAAAAAAAAGAATTTTATTCTTATCATAGGTTACAAGATTTTTATGTCGAGGGAAGCCATTTGATTGCTAAAACGACTAGCTGAGATCAGGATTCGAATGAAGATTATGGCATGGAACATGGAGACAGTAGAAATATAAAAGAAAATTCATATAGTATGAAACCAACTAAACTGGACTATTTGGATAAATTCAGTCTTCTCATATAGAGTAAACCCTAAAGTTAAAATTGATAATTAGACACAGTAAACTCTTTGTGAAGGTTTGCATGAAGTACAGATTCTCATAAACGGAAGAGAGCCTATTATTAGATGTTTATTTTCATAAAGAGAGAAAAATCCCTGATACAGTAGTAACTGAAAGACTAATTTCGGCAACCAAACGTTATCTTGACTTTGTATGTAGCTTTATGTGCATTTAAAGGCAGTACCGAGTTTCCAACACAAATCATAGAGGATCAGAAACGTGACAAATACCTATGTCCTTGACGGAATGGCTATCTACAGTAATAAAATAACAAACGATCTATGAAGTTCCAGGGTCTCTATTGTAACTAATTTACAAAATCTTATGGTAAATTAGCCTAAGCTATAGGAGTTCTAAACAAATCACCTGACAGGTGAGATTTCGCGAAAATGATAGCGTCAGAAAAAATAGCTGGTAACATCTGGCACTTCACGAAGTGTTGGGAGACTTAAAAACTCATAACATGAGAATCAGACCAAAGTAACCATCAGAAAACGCTACTAGGATAAGGCACCAATCCGCAAATCCTTAAAAAGTAATGATTGCGTAAAGCTGATAAAAACACCGGTGAAATACACTGTGATTGAAATTCTTACTATATGTATTAATGAATTTTTTTATTTTATTCGATTAGAGATCATACGTCCGAAAGTAAATACCTATAACGTTGATCTGAAATTCTCGTTATTTTATTTTCTTATTATCAGCCATGGACGTTCATGAGGGCTTAACAAAAAACAATAAATATTACGTAAAATAACCTGTGCAGGATATTAACAAATATATTTATGCATGTAGATTATGATTTTGAGTAGTGCTATAAGAAGCATAAAGATGAGTTGAAGACTTCGGTAATATTTAAAGCCCTTATTTCGTTATTTTCAATTTGATATTAGCATTTAATACCGATAAATCTAGGTAGTATTCGCATATACATTATCTATAATCTAAAGTACTTGTATAATGATTATCAGGTAAGCAGGCAAACTCCAACCTTCTGGTAGAACATTGATCAATAACGGTAGTTCAACCCACAATCCATTAACAACAATCCATGATCCTAGACCATATAAACTGACAAAACAAGCTGCAAGCCATGTGAACTTTATGTCATTTTTTGATGGGACCATGCTAAAATGCGGAAGTAAAGTTATGTGCAAATATATTTAAGAAAACCAAATAATATTAACATCATGAATAGAGATTAATTTTAGCTGTTAAACAAATAATTATTGGAAGAATAAATAATTACAAAATCAAGGCAATTTAAAAACCATTTGATATTGGGGTTTTTACAGTTTATGTAGATAATTAACATTCACTCACGAAAAAAACATTACGAGTACTGGAGCAACCTCAAATAATAATGACCCAAATTTAGAGAACGTTCCATCAAAGATAAAATTCTGATGCAGACTTGCACCAATTTAACTCAAATAAATTTTAATGTGCCAAATGCACCAATTTTTACGTTGCACTAAAAATGAATATCTTAGTACTTAAATGTTGTTTTTATCATTTGAACTAACGTGATGGCAAATAATATCCAAAGCAATCCATGAGGCATTTTATGATCGAGTTAGTCTCAAGAAGTAAAAACGCTGAAAATTACTTTCTAAAGAGTTGCGGCTACTAAACTATCAGGAACAAAAAAATCAATATTACTAACAAACTATTCTTTTCATCAACAGTATGTATATATTTTACCACTCATAGTGCACTCGCGATAAAAGTAAAAGATGACCTGAATCCTTCGACTTGTACATGTGTTTATGAATTTAATTGCTTTTGTGGAAACAGCTACATAAAAAATTCAGTAACGTCATCGTTACCATCTAGAATATTGTTGTGTGACCAGAAAAAGAAACAATTAAATACATGAAAATGTCAATACACTGATTCAGTGGACACAACATAAAATCTATAAAAGCTTAGTATTCGACATTATGGATAGTATTGTCAATGAAGCTTTCAAAATTTGTGTATCTCCACTTACTAAGTATATCAGAAGGAATATGCACCAGAACTGAGTAATAAAATTTATGCACACGAAGTCATTTTCTTGGATTCCATCCTTTGTACAGTAAATATTCATTGCAACCCAAAAGCTGGTATGGCTGAGAGTGGGATGGACTCGCCCTCCCTCTCGAAATAATCTCACACGGCCACGCGTATAAAGCCTCTGTCAGGGAAGTCCTACTCATTGCCTTCTCGTGGCGCGGGTGTTGTTTACGAAAATGAGAGGACGAAAAGCGAATGTCCGGTGCTTTAACCGGATCACAAACCAATGGTGCACATGAGCTCCAGTATCCTGCGGGAACAAATGGCGTATGAACCAATCGTTGGTCACCGGCTACCATGGGATTGCATCTCCTTACGATGCTCCACTGCCTTGTGGGTTAGACCTTTAGGTCAAAGGCTCGGGGAGTGGCTCCCTAAGATAACCACCTGCTTCGGTTTGGGCACCCGGGCAGTATCACAGCCCACACACATATGATGATCTCTCTATGCCTATGGAAATTACTTTTCTCGCTCCGATGTAGTAAATAATAATAATAATAATAATAATAATAATAATAATAATAATTTGAATCATTTGACTGTTAGTTGAAGCAAGAAAATTAGTTTCCATAATTATAGACAGTTCATCATTTGTATGTGGGCTGTGATACTGCCCGGGTGCCCAGACCGAAGCACACAATCACACGCTACTCTTTACCAAACCGTTCAAAAGCTGTAGGTGTTAGATTCGTGCAAACTTTGTGGAACCACCCTTTGCACTCATCGTACTGTATTTCACTTCCCACAGGGTATCGACAGCTCATGCGTTAGTAATTGCTTTCCGGGTTGTTCAGTCATCAAACAGAAGTTTTCAAATGAATAAGACACAAGAGGACACGCGGAGACAAGAACCGACAACCAGAAAGAAAGTAAAAAACCATTAACTGTTAGATCCAAAAATGCAACAAAAAAAGACAAATACACTTTTAAGAAAGTACAGATGATTGCTTACTTTCAAGGAAAAACGATACTATTGATGTTACTTTAGCTAAAATAAATTCAATCAAAAAGAGAACAGTGATTTCGATGCATGATAAACGATAAAAACTATAAATTTAGCTCAGCGAGGAAGAATACTACTGTCCTTTTTAAAGCAGAGGTTACGGTTGTTCAATGCAGAGAAGCCCTCCACAGAATACTGATCAATGGATAATCAGCTGCGAAAGTAACGAAGTAAATTTGATTACTAGTCGCAGATACTAACCAAAAAAACATATCAACAACATTAGGCACTTTGTATGAAGGGAAGTCAATGTCGTTTTACGAACTATATTCTAGGTTGTTCAGACAACCCTAAATTTATGTTGATGCTACTCTAACAATGTTTCATGTCATCCAGACAGTGTACCTGACTATCGCATTAGGTGGGTGTAGGTTATCACGGCCTAAGAAACAGAATCTAAGCAGTCTCCACAAAATTATGAACCGACAGGCTTTAGAAAATCATGAAAATTATCAATAAAACCATTATGACTCTCCTTAAAACCCAATGCTTGTAAGACGGTGACCAGTATGACTTTAGCAATGGTAAGTCATGCAAAAATGAACTTTATTTGCGGGCTGGTCAGCAAGACGTAAATTGGATTAACTTTATCGAAGGTTTGGACGAATTTCCTGACACTATGGATATTGGATCCGGAAGGCTTAAAGACTGCCAAGTACCCACGTAGACAAGCTAGAGCCTTCGTAGTTAGCAGGCAACACAGACTAAGATCATCTAACAGAAGACAACAAATGAAGAAACACACTAAAATAGACTAAGACGGGACCACTACTAATTGAAATAATTTAACTTGTAAACACATCCACAGTCAGTCAGTCAGCTACAACGTAGGACCAGGCACATATATTTCAGATTCAGATTTGTGTAGTAAGGACAGAAGGCCTATGTTATTCCTTTTCTAGTATGCTTTTGTGAGTGTCCAGTCTTCTCTTGAAAGGGTCAACTGAAGGTGCGAACACCACTGCTTCAGGCAGCAGGTTCCAAGTTGCCATACCTCATTAACACAACAAGATGGACACCGGATTCATAAAAGTAGTTAATTCAGAGGTGGTAATATATAAGAGAAAGATTGAAATAAGGATATAGTACAGGAAGAAAGAATTAGTTCGTAGAAAGAAAGATATGAAGCGATTTTAATCTCTTAGTTTAAGGGAAGATAGAGAGTGTATACACCGACGGAGAAGTAATTTTCAGACAATTTAGTCTTAAGAATACACTACTTTAGTCTTATTAGTTGCATAGAAACACACAACGACTTACTCTTAGAGGTCACTTAGCGACAACCTCAGACGGACTATACATATATAACGCAACAGTTGAACAATCCACTCTACTCAGTTTCAGTTTCAGTTTGGGAAGGACAGGAGGCTTGATGGCCTATGTTAGTCTTGGCAATGGTGGTCTCTCAGTTGGTCCAACTTTCTTTTGAAAGAGTCGACGGATGGAGCCTCAACCATGTGCTGAGGTAGTGAATTCCACTCGTTGGTGATTCGATGGGAAAGTCGATAGTCAGCTGACAAGTAATTTGTTCTCGCCTTGTGAACTTTTTTGGAGTTGTGGAGATAGACCTGACAACCTTATTTTGTAAATAGTTTTCAATGTTATTTCTATTTGTTTTGTCAATTTTTCACTGTATGTACATTTATCATTAAATGACTGTACGTGTTGTTTTAGTCAACGACCTTGAACACTTTTTCCGTTGTAATTCTAACATAGCGTGACACACATTTTCGGTTGTTCACAAATACACTACTACGCTCGCTCGCTACCAAGTCAATTGCGTTCTAAACTGGATATTATCCTCATTTCAGACTGCAGTGTCATTCCCATTATATCCTACGTCAAAGAAACTTATTGGCGTCATATTTACCTCTGTGGAATTATTACGCATTTATAATTGTGGATTTTTGAGACCAAAACTCAACAGAACACGCAACGACTAGCCGATTTAAGTAACGTCCCTAATTTGTTATTGTATTTGTAACATTTAACTTGTAAATATTAATATTACTATTGATTGTTATTAACTTTGTTGATACTTTTGCGTTTATATATTGTTTGGTCCACCACAATTAATTGGTAAGCCTCGATTTTTTTTATGGACATTTACCTTATATATCTGCATATTTATTATTATTATTATTACCTGGCACAACTTCATTTTTGTTTTTGTCATTATGAACTCTCCGGGTAAACTTATTGATATTGATAGTTCACCGACCAACCTTCTAAACTTTCCACAACCAGAGGATAATGTTTTAAACTCAATCAACGCTATCTCGGAACTAAGATTACCAACGTACGGTGTTAATAATCCCAGGATCTGGTTTGCACAGGTTGAGGCATTATTTTTGTCGAGAGGTATACGCTCGCAAGCGACAAAATATGCATACATCGTTGGAGCATTACCCATAGAAGTGGCAGCAGAAGTCGGAGACCTGATGGATAACGTACCAGAAACGGACCCCCATGACAAAATAAAAGCCGCAGTAATCCACCGTACTTCGCAGTCTGATGAAAAACGCTAACAGCAACTACTCACCGCATGCGAGTTAGGGGACAAAAGACCTTCACAGTTGCTTAGACATATGAGACAACTAGCAGGCTCATACAAGTTAGACGAAGCATTACTTAAACAGATGTGGTCACAAAGGTTACCATATAGCGTCAGACAAATTCTCAGCGTATCAGGAGCCTCTGTCAGTCTTGATGATTTAGCAGACATGGCCGATAAGATGATAGAAATATATCCCGATAGTCGGGGAATTAACGCAGTACAACCCGCCAGTAGAGATGCTATGAACCCTACTCTTGACATGCAGCAACAAATGGCACACCTAACACGGCAGCTAGCATCACTGCAGGCGACTACCTCCACCATCCATTCTCGACGCCCCAGGTCTACGTCCAGAAGGAGATAATTATCCAGACATCGTCTTAGGTCACCTAAGCGGGCAGCCGGAATTTGTTGGTATCATTCGAATTATGGTGAGAAAGCACGTCGTTGCATAAAACCGTGCAACTTCACGACAAGCAAGCCAGACCATCAGGGAAACGAAGTGGCCAGACAGTAATAGCGGCAACTGTTACTGGCTAACATGTCGGTCGCCTCTTCCACATCAGGGATCGTATTTCTTGCTCAGACTTTTTAGTCGATACGGGAGCAGAAATCAGCATCATCCCACTCCATCTCTCACGCAGACAACATACTACAAGCACTAAATTGTCCTTGGTAGCGGCTAACGAATCAGTTATCAAAACTTATGGAGAACAATCTCTTATGTTAGATCTCGGACTCCGCAGAAGATTCACATGGGTATTCATAGTTGCTCAAGTCAAACGACCCATCCTCGGGGCCGATTTTCTGAGTGCGTACAACCTGTTAGTTGATATGACCAACAAGAGATTAATCGACGTAAACACACGTTTACAGGTAAATGGTACACTCTTCAACGACAACGTGATCCATGTTGTTCGAATAATGAAACTTCTGAACAACATCTTCGACGCCATTCTAAGAGAATAGCAGTGCATTCCGAAATCAGATTACCAAAAGGGAGGTCACCCACAGCTGGTGCAACACCATATCACTACCACCGGACCACCTATTAGCGCCAAGGCGAGGAGATTACCACCAAGCAAGTTGCAAGTATCTAAAAGAGAATTCGAACATATGATGCAACTTGGTATTATCAGACCATCCAACAGGCCTTGGGCCTCGCCCTTACACATGGTACCAAAGAAGGACCGAGATTGGCGTCCGTGTGGTGACTATCGACGATTAAACAATCAAACCATCCCGGATAGGTATCCTATTCCACATATACATGACTTCGCGTTAAATTTACATGGTAAATGCATCTTCTCGAAACTCGACCTCGTGCGTGCATACCATCAAATTCCGATGGCACCAGAAGACATCGAGAAAACAGCTATCATCACACCCTTTGGCCTGTTTGAGTTTCTAAGAATGCCATTCGGATTGAAAAATGCCGCCCAAACATTCCAACGATTCATGGATGATGTCACAAGAGGTTTAGACTTCATATTCGCCTACATAGACGACGTTTTGATCGCAAGCTCATCAATAGAAGAACGCGCCCAGCATGTTCAGATCCTCTTTGAACGTTTTAAGAAACATGGCGTGGTTATCAATCCTTCTAAATGGATATTCGCCGTCTCAGCCTAAGAGTTTTTA